TCTCTTGCTGCCTGCCCAGATGAGTTCCCCTGCATCTGTATCATTTGCAACTTGTCCCTGGAGATTGCTGTGCAGACGCGTTGATGGGAGGTCAGCACTGAGATGCAGGTCAGGATGCAGGAAGTTTACAGGGGCCTGTTCTTGGGGTCAACTCCAGGGGAGGTGAGGCAGAGCAGCGGGAGTGGGTGGAAGGAGAAGTTGGGCCCTGAGCTGGCCTCCACGGAAGCCCCCGGCAGCCCCCACCAGCCCCGTGGGGAACTGGGAGGGCCCTTGTGAGCTGTCCCCTGTGAGGGCAAGGATGCCGGATCTTCACAGCCACATGCATCATTCCCTGGACGGCACCTGCCCCGCCGACCTCGGGAAGGAGCGAGACTTTGGAAGGGCTCTCTGTGCAGCTGAGACGACCCTGTCCCGAGGGGCCAGCAGCTCTCCCAGCCTCCGGTCCTCATGGGATCTGAGTGGTGCCTCGTGGCAGCTGCCACATCATCAGAACCTTCTCATGGCCCACCCCCCTCCCCGCCCTCCTCTCTCTGTCCCTGAGGCCCATGGCCCCTGCACCCACACTCTTCCTTCCTCTCCAGCCCCAAACCAGAAAGCCCTCTAGCTAGCACTCAAGAGCACAGAGTGCCCCCCCCCCGCAGGTTTTTGCCCCCAAAGCAAAACACCTGCCCACAGTTTTGCCACCAGCGGACCTCTGAATCTTCATTTTGCTCGGCCAGGCCCTCCTGCAGCTCCGAGAAGTAAAAGCACCCCCCGCCCAATACCCCACCCCGCTTGCATTTCATCAGTGCTACCTGCCACGTGCCATGGGTCGGGATGCCCCAGGCCTTCCAGAGAGAGAGGAAGATGGCAGAGGTGTGAGTCGGCTCAGGTTGCCACAGCAGGGGACCACACACTCGGCAGCTTGAACGGCAGGAGGCCGGAATGCATTTTCTCACAGCTCTGGCGGCTGGAAGTCCGAGATCAAGGTGTCCGCAGGATGGGTTCCTTCTGAGGGCCTCGCGGGAAGGGTCTGAGAGGTCTCCCCCTTAGCTGTCAATGACTGTCTGCCCCCTGAATCTTCGCATGCTCCTCCTCTGTGACCGTCCGTGTTCAAATTTCCTCTTCGTGTAAGGACCCCAGATGATACCAGACTAGGGCTCGCTCTAAATGTCCTGACTTCCACTTAGTCATTCTGTAAAGATCTCATCTCCAAACACCCTCACGTTTGGAGGAACCGAAGGATAGGATTTCAAGATACGAATTTGGTGGGGGGCCCAGGAGGGCCACAGCTGAGCCTGTAACCTTAGGGGAGGTGACGGTTTAGAGGACTGGAAAGAAGGTGGCAAGTGAAGGGAAGGGAAAGAGTTTAAGGCATCTCGAGCTGGTCTTTGACGTCAGAGAGAGGGGGAAACCACGGCTCCGAGGGTCGGTGCCAGGCTTAGGCCACCTCCTAGTTGATGGCCAAACCAGAAGTCAAAGCTGAGAGATTTTTCACGTGTCCTCAGGAAGCTCACAGCCTCCTTTTGTGGATGGAGCCAATGGGCCTGGTCGTCTCTGGGCTCACAGTGGGGGCGGAGGCGGCAGGCTGCAGGGTCCCGCGTCAGAGCCACTCCAGAGGGTGACCGGCAGATGGCCACCTCCGAGGAACAGGAGGACGTTGGCAGGAGGGCTGTGACCTGCTAAAGAAGGAGCCAGCCTTCTCTCTGAAGGGAGCTGGGGCCTGCCATGGCATGGGGCGGTCAGACTTGGACACTCCCCGCCTCCCCGCCCTTCCCCCACAAGAGCTGTCCTGCTGCTAAAAGAAACGCGCCAGGCCCGCAGAGCCAAACGTTCTTGTGCTCAGTCGGTGAGCTGCAAACACACGCCCCTCCTGTGTGTTTCTCCTCTGCTCTGGTCTGTCCCCCACTCAGTATTCAGACACCGGACATGTGGGTTTTCTGCACAACAGTTCTCTGACACTATCTGAGTGTCCTATAGTTAACTCAGTTCTGACACCGTCTACCCAGGGGTGGCATCAGATGCTACAGTCCCATTATACTGACCCCCACCCCCCAATTTCAGGCACTGATCACAAATTTCAGGCTGTTCCATGTACTTCTGGCAGACCAGTGGTAGATCAGGGTTCCAGGTCCTAACCCCATCATAGTGCAAGTTTGGGTTTCAGCGGATGAATTTTGGAGGACCCTGAACCGCCCTTTGCAGAGGAGTGTGCTCCCTCCTCATCTCCGTTGCCTCCTCTATAAGAGGCGAGGGTGTTACCATGCAGTTCTTATGCTGATCCAGAGAGGCGAGGCAGGCAGGAGAGAACCTTGGAAGCAGTAATGCACGCAGGAGTTCTTGCTCTCTCTGTCCACCTGCTTGCAGCCCTCCTTCACACCCCCTTCAGGCTGCCCTTGGTGGCTGTGTTTCCCCTGGGAGGTTAATTTTTTTTTTCTTTTTAATTTGGTTTTACCTGCTTGACGGCATGTTGTAGAAGGAGCGCAACCACTGGTGTGAGATAAACCTGGGTCCAAGCCCTGAGTCTGCTCCTCACCAGCTGTGTGACCCTGGGCAGGTTTCTCTGCCTCTCTGTGCCTTTGCTTGCTCCAGGGATCAGCAGCTGCTGCCCCGTTTACCCGTGATTATAGTGACTGGAGAATTCCATGGACAGAGTCCACGGGGTCGCAGAGTCAGACTGGACTGAGCGTGTTTCACGTAGTGACAAGAAAGCTTTTTTTCCTTTGGACTAAAATATTCTACCAAAGCAGAAAGTCAGTCATGATCCTTCAAGGCGTTCGTTCCTCAAACACTACTTTATTGAGCACCAGCTGTGTGCTGGAACCACAGTTGTAAAGCAGGGGAACATGGAGTGCTTGCCCTCATGGGATCCACAGCATGGCACGGGCGACAGGCCCTAGCAAAATCACCGTAGATCTGATGGGTGTTACAAAAGCAGCCACTGTCAGACCTCAAGCAGGCCGATTTAACTGAAACAGCTAACGTTTCAGCCGGGATCAGAATTAGCAGTGAAGGAGGCCAGAGGCCAGAGGCGAGGTTCTAGGCAGGGCAGTGGCCTGCATGCAGCTCACGTTTATTGCAGGCACGCTGTGTGCAGGCTGTGTGCTCAGCTCATGGTGCGCATTGCCTTGTGTCATCCTCCCAGTGCCCCCATCACTGTTCCTACAAACCCTTCGTGTGTGCGTGCTAAGTCGGTTCAGCCGGCCAGTGCTGTGCAGCCCTATGGACTGGAGCCCGCCGGGCTCCTCTGTCCTTGGGACTCTCCAGGCAAGAGTACTGGAGCAGGCTGCCATGCCCTCCTCCAGGGGATCTTCCCGACCCAGGGGTCAAACCCACGTCTCTTACGTCTTCTGCATTGGTAGACAGGTTCTTTACCACTCGTGCCACCTGGGAAAGCCCCACAAGCCCTTTACCCAGTGAGAAAACTAATGTTCAGAGAGGCGACTTGATTTGCCTGAGGAAATACAGCTAGTAGCTGGAGGGGCCAGGAAATGGCCACTGGAGCCAAGGTGAGAAACACTGTTACAGGTTAGAATTCCAGCTCTGCTCCTTCCTAGCCGTGTGGCCTTGGGTGACCTAGCTCATCTTCCTGACCTTGGTTTCCCGTTTGTGAACGGGGCCAGTCCCACAGGCTTGGTTAGCTAGGGTTCAGGCTTTGAAATGCCGCTGGCAGAGCCCGGCTTGGGGCTTGCCGGCCGGGAGGTCAGGAGCTGTCCACAAGGTGGGTGCTGACCGGGCTGTGTGAGGGCGGGGTGGGGGGGGGTGGCGTGCCCGCTTGGGTGGGCGCTGCCAAGTGTTTTTCCGGAGAACACGGCCAAGGATGCTTTGAGTTCTGTCTTCTCCAGGAGGCAAGCAGAAGGAAGGGAAAGGAAGGGCACTGGGACCTGACACTGCACTTAGACCCGTGAGTGGATGGGCTGGCCGGGCTGAGCCTGGGCGGCCCTCGGGGCAGCCAGAAAGGGGGCCTGTCGATGGGAGTGGGTTCCAGACTCCCACGTCAAACCCTGCTGACGTTAGATCTGGGACCAGGCTTTGATATCATCTCTTCCCACCTCCTCAAGGTGGGAAAACTGATGACCCAGAGGGGAGAAACATTTTGCTTAAAGTACTACAGTGACTCTGGGGCCCAGAATCCAGCAAAGCAGAAGGGCGTTCAGGCCGGCAGAGGGTCACCAGCGTGAGCAGAGGCACGGCTGCCCTTTGAGTGCCGTGTCCCCTGTGCCTGGCACCTCAGAGGTACTAAGTGAACATTTATCGACCGAGTGGATGTAGTGTGGAAAACACAGCCTGGGGACTCAGACCCATCTTGAAATCTGTCTCCACCCTGGGCCACTCTGTCTACTTCTCTGGGTGAATTTCTACATGTCGCTGACCTCAGTTTCCCAAAATAAGACCACAAATCCAGCTGGTAGGCACCTGAACAGGGATTTGAACCATGATCTCCTGGATCTCAGGGCTGACATTTCATATTGCACCCCCTCCCCAATTTTTTTTTTATATGTACTCATTTCATTCATTCATTCATCCACTCAGAAAATATTTGTGGAGACTTACAATGCACCAGACCCTGTTCTAGGCCCCGTGGATACAACAGTGAACAAGGCAGATGAGGCCCTGCCGTTGAGGAACTTATATTCTAGAAGTTGGAGGCATGCAGTAAGCAGAGAAATAGGACAGGAAGTACCCTGAAGGAGCTATAACAGGGGATGGAAGAAGTTGTAGGCGGGGTGCCTTAGATTGTGTAGACGGGGAAGGAGATGACACTTCATGTGACATCTCAAAAGAAGCCCATTATGCAGAGAGCCTGAAAAAGAATTCACTTCAGCGTGAAGTGTGGGGGTAGCAGGATCCACAGGCCTCAGCCCTACGGAAAACATAGGGAATGTGAGGAGGGAACGCAGTTACCAAAACATCCCAAGCAACCCGAGAATGCTGTTGTGGGGGCGGGGCCGGTGCAGCCGCCTGGGGTGCCTGCTCCCCAGGTAGAGTAGGGCCTCACCCTCTGGCGCCTCGCCTTCCAGGTGAAGCAGATCATGGAGGAGGCCGTCACACGCAAGTTTGTCCACGAGGACAGCAGCCACATCATCTCCTTCTGCGGTGAGTCGGTGGCCCCGGGCGGCCTTGAAAAGCAGCTTTCTCTCTGTGGGCTGCCTCGGGGCTGTGGCAGCTTTCTTTGAGCAAAGGTTCCCAAAGGTCATGCTTTTGCTGCTTCATAACTGTGAGGTTGTTTTCCAGATCCCAAAGTGACTCCATTAGGGAATTTAGAAGTAGGGAAAAGATGAGAGAAGACCTTAAGAATGACATCTGTGCTGGTGGCTCAGATGGTAAAGCATCTGCCTACAATGCGGGGTTCAATCCCTGGGTTGAGAAGATCCCCTGGAGAAGGAAATGGCAACCCACTGCAGTATTCTTGCCTGGAAAATCCCATGAATGGAGGAACCTGGTAGGCTACAGTCCATGGGGTCGCGAAGAGTCGGACACAACTGAGCGACTTCACTTTCACTTTCTGTGCCCTGGGAAGAGGTAATCACGGTTGACCCGGAGAGATGCCTTCCCTCCCGTGGGCTCCATTCACACCGACCCCACCCCAGGCGACCAGGGGGCTTGCCTCTGAGGGATGGGCTCCGCATCCTTTCCTCGCCCAGGTAGACAGGATGGATGGGGACTTTTAAGGAATCAAGGAGCCCTGGACACTTGCTGAGGGATAGCGGCCAGCTGGTTCAGCAAAGGAGGCAGGCCCAGGGCTCGGAGCGTGACTCAGCCCTCTCCCTCTCCTTGAACCTGCGAGGCTAGCTGCCAGGTTCTTCCTCTCCCTTCACAATGGCTGGAGGCATGGGCCCTGCGTGTCTCTGAAGTCAGGATTTAGCACATACGATTCAGCGCGTACGCAGTGTGTACGTATACATGGGAGTGTCTCTTTCTCCCTGAAGACCTTCTAACCTCATGATTGTGGAGTGTCTCTCCACGAAGGACAAGCGATCATGCCCCTCTCACGGTCTTGGCTCCAGGAGGGACCCATCAGCTTCCGTTCAGGTGGTGGGGGACACCGCCCGTGGGCCCGCAACCAGCTGAGCGCACGCCACGACCTGGGAAACCACTTATGTCAGTTCTGCTCTTTGGCCGCCCAGCTCTGCTCAAATCCCATCTCTGCCACTTCTTTGCTGGGTGACCTTGGGCACGATCTTATTTTTTTAGCTGATGTATCTTTACGTAAATAAATATACATGAAAGTGAAAGTGAAAGTCACTCAGTCATGTCTCACTTTTTGCGACCCCATGGACTATGCAGTCCATGGCATTCTCCAGGCCAGAATACTGGAGTGGGTGGCCTTTCCCTTCTCCAGGGGATCTTCCCAACCCAGGGATGGAACCCAGGTCTCCCGCATCGCAGATGGATTCTTTACTGGCTGAGCCACAAGGAAAGTCCCCTGTGTGTGTGTGTGTATGTGTGTGTGTATATATATATGAAAGTGAAAGTGAAGTCGCTCAGTCGTGTCCGACTCTTTGCGACCCCACGGACTGTAGCCTACCAGGCTCCTCCGTCCATGGGATTCTCCAGGCAAGAATACTGGAGTGGGTTGCCATTTCCTTCTCCAGGGGATCTTCTCAACCCAGGGATTGAACCCAGGTCTCACACATTGGGGGCAAACGCTTTAACCTCTGAGCCACCAGGGAAGACCGCCAGTGCAGGAGTATATATATATATACATACATACATTAAAAAAATATATATATTTTTCCTTTTTTTTCCCTTTGGCCACACTGCGTTGCTCATAGGATCTTAGTTCCCTGAGCAGGGATTGAATCTGGGCCCGAGACAGTGAAAGTGCTGGTTCCTGGACCACCAGGGAATTCCCCGAAAAATATTTTATGTATGTAAAAATACACATATACACATGCCCATATACTCACATATGTATATGGAAATATATCTCTCTATATATAAATATAGATCTCTGGCTTTCTTTTTTCTCCTGGACATTTTTATTTGCAAAAAACTTAATATGCATGTCTGTTTCAGGGCTTGCTAGCATACCTACCAATTAAAGACTTAGAAGATCAAGACTTAGAAGATTTTAACAAGTGATAAAAATCATAATAATTCTCTAACTCCAATCAAAGTTCAGGGGTGAGAGAAACATGCTGGCATTAAATGAGGCCTGAAGGATGTCCCTGAGGTTTCTTTTGTCCGTTGTTCCTTATGAGCCATTGTCAGAAAAACATGGAACAATGTTTACCAAGCTGTACTAGATCATGAATTTAATCAATGTAAGCAAATGAAAAGTCCTAGGTATTTTAATTCGATGAGCAGATCAAGCAGAATGTGAGCAGTCCTTCAAAGCCAAGTCGTTGCTGACAACAGCAAGAACAGGGCAAGCAGTCACCCCGAAACTTCTCAGCATTTCTCCTTACGCATGGCATGGCCTTGCCAGGCTCTTAACCCTGCGCGTGCTGGGGTCCTCCTCTGTGAAACGATAGTAACTAGAACACTGGCCTCTTGAGTTTCACTGCAGGGGTTAGGGAAGGTGAACCTTAACACTGGTCTGACGCCCAGCAGGTGCCCAGTGAGCGTAAGGAGTAGCCCTTAATAAGCACGTTTTCCCATACACATGGATTATGCTCCTAGTGCATACCAGAGTGGGTTCCCAGGCCACTGTGTAAGACAGCAAGTCAGAAGACAGGCTGCCGAGGGACTCCCCTGGTGGGCCAGTGGCTCAGATGCCACGCTGCCAACAGAGGGGACCCAGGATCCATCCCCGGTCAGGGAACTAGATCCCTCATGCCCCAGCTAAGCGTTGCACACGTCGCAGCTAAGGATCCCGGCACAACCAAATAAATACATATTAATTTTTAAATTAAAAAAATTTAAAGCTTCTGAAAGCATCAGATATGCAGGATAGAGGTCATCAGAATGGCGTGCACAGGGCCTGTTTCTTGGGAGGGAATTCTGAGGGCCAGAGAGGGAAAGTTATTTGCCTGAGGTCACACAGCAAGTTAGTAGAACCCAGGCTATGCCCTGGGTCTCTTGTTTGAGGAGGGCTGGACAGAGCCTCCAGGGGAGACACAGAAGTGGGAAGATTAAGACTGAAACTTCTCTTCAAAGGCGCTTTGTGGAGGCGCAGATGTGAGCACACCTTGGGCTCAGACATGGGTATGAATCCCAGCTCCTTCACTTATTTGCCAGGTGGCCCTAGCAATTCAGCTCACCGCTGCTAGCCTCCGTGTCTACATCTGGAAAATGGGGATGGTTTTCCTTTCTGCCTGGCCATGGTGGAGATTGAATGAGATCCATAATGTTAACTGTTACTGAAATCACAATGGTAATGACAGCAGTGTGATTCTTTTAACTGAAATACAGCTAGGCAGTCACGCAGTCCAGGCTCCCCTCCTTCATTGAAAGGAGGAATATCTAGCCTTCATGAAGCACACACGCGTGCCAGGCTCTGAGCAAAGTGCTTTCCATGCATTTTTTCCCACCTTATCCTGACAGCAACCTTATGAGGTTACTGTTCACACTATCCCATTTTACAGATGAGGAAGCTGAGACATGCGGAGGGGAAGTGCTTCCCCTCACGCCGTCACACAACTGGTAAGGGGCCAGGAGAGGATGTGCACAGAGATGATCTGACCTGGGGCAGCAAGCGTGGGTTCACCACTAAGCCCTCTTGCTCCCTTTTGAGGGGCTGGACGGTGGAGAGGCATACAGGCTTTTCACCATGATGCTATCATAGTGATGCTATCATGAAATTTGTGACTTTGGGGACCCCAGACCTTCAAGGCACCTGTGTGTGACTGAGAAAGCCCAGAGCCAGGGTGCGCCTGGGGGCAGATCATGGGTGGGGTCTGCTGACCGCGGTGTCCCTGCAGCGGCCGTGGAGGCCTGCGTCCTGCACGGGCTGCGGAGGCGGGCGGCTGGCTTCCTGCGCAGCAACAAGATCGCAGCTCTCTTCATGAAAGTGGGCAAGAGCTTCGCGCCGGCCGAGGAGCTGAGCCGCAAGGTGCAGGACCTGGAGCAGCTGATCGAGAGCGCGTGAGTGCTGAGCGCGGGGTGTGGGCCGGGGCACCCCCAGAGGACAGCCGGTGCTCCTGCCTGGGGTCCGCAGGAGCCTGTACCTCCCGGCCCCCTCTCCACTCTCCGTTCTGCTCCTCAGACCTGCCAGGCTCTCTTATACCCCAGGGCCTTTGCGCATGCTGTACCCTCCCCCCAGTTCACACCCCTCATCTTCCGTGGTGGATTCCTTTTCATCCCCAAGGATGGTAACGCACTCTAACTAGTAGTAAATTCTAACCCTCACCCTGTTTCTCTTTTATATCACTCTGCTTATTATCTTCCCAGTTGTTATCACCACCTATAATTTTTCATTCATTCATTTACTGTTAACCTGATTGTTATCAGTCTCCCCCACTGGCCTCTGAACTCCATGAGGATAGGCATCTGGATATGTGCTGCTCCCCATTAGGTCACCAGTGTCTGGGATAGCGCCCAGCACCCGGGAAATGCCCAGGAAATGATTGTTGAATGAGTAAGTGCCTACTGAGCCAGGCCTGTGCCAAATGCAGGCAGATCGAAGTTTAATATAACCACATGGTCTCCGTCTGCATGGATCTGATGCTCACAGTGAAGCAGCCATTTATGGGGGCATTGTCTTAGTGGCTCGTGGCCTGAGAATGTGTAAATGAGTGCCTCCCACCAGAACCACCCCCAGAGTCCCAACTGCGCAGCCAAGCCCCCAACCTGGAGCCTGGTCAGGGGTGGCAAATAGGTTTCCTCCCCAGTTGTTGCTGCTGGCTGTGAGGTTTTCCTGCCGGAGCTCATTGCTTTTACAAGAGCCCAAAGACCGACAGAGAACTGTTTTGTGGAAAGTTCTGGAGTTGTGAGTGGGCTTCGTGGGAAAGAGTGCATGGATTGATTAACACATGTGGCCACATGTGTTACGGGCAAGAGAAGGGAGAGAGAGGCAGGCATGCCATGTGTCTGCCCTCGCTGCCATGAGTGGCCGCTCCACTTCACTGCGAGAGAAATGGCCTTTCCTTGCCCTTCAGATCCTGCCAGCCCAGGGCTGCTGGCCAGAACTGCACTATGGGCAGCGCTCTGGACTTGGCATTGCTAGTTCCCATTCGGAACCTGACTCTTCAGCCACCTGGTCTTTAGGGGTCTTCCAGTCCATCTGCTAAATTCCCAGGTGTCTGCTGATAGCTTCTTAAAGGGGTGGATTTCCATGAACCTTCCATAACATTGGGAGCAACTTTCTAGTGGAGAAATGAGAGATGTTCATTCCAGGGGCCCATTCACTCATTTTTGCCATCATTCTTTTATGGACATATTTACTGAGCCCTCCATACATGCCAGGCACTGTGCTGGGCCCTGGAGATACAGGCAGGAAACAGGGCCAAAGCTTGCCATGTGGCAGACTCTCCGAGTTTTATTTAAAAAGCAGTTGAATTGCATAATCCATGCCTTTGAGGTCCCATTGTGGAGGAGAAGACAGAGGAGTGAGCAAGAAGTTAAGCTGCAGAAGTCCACGGAACACAGAGTGGGGGGGGGGGCCTCCCCAACTTCAGCTGGTGCTCGAGTGCTTCTGTAGGAGGGGGTGCCCTCCCTGAGACCTCAAGAATGACCAGGGTTCAGCCAGATAATAGAGTGGGGAGGGAAGCCAGAAAGAAGCAGCAGCTCACAGAAAGTCCTCAGATGAAAGCTTGGCAGCTTTGGGGATCTGCAGAGATCCCTGTCTGGCTGGATCGTGGGGTCAGAGTCAGGGAGTGGTAAGGAGGTGGCTGGGGAGGTGGACGGGGCAAGGTCGTGGAGTACCCTGCTTGTCGTGTTATAAAGCTTGCTTCTCCAGAGCAATGGGGGAGCCTCCAAAATGAAAGAAGAATCCAAGGCTCTTCTTGGCCAGCACTCCTTTCCAGCTGAGAGAGAGAAAGTAAGAGAGAAATTTCAGTGTGAGAATCATCACCAGTGTATGAAAGGGTCAGTTTGACTGCGTCTTCACACTCACTGGGTGTTGTTATTTTTCCAACTCTTTTCCCTTTCTCCAGGAGCAGTGTGGGCTCCTGTTGCTGTTCTAATTGCCATTCTTTCATTTCTTAGAGAAGTTGGACACTTTCCTATTTGCATGTTGATCCTGTTGGATTTCCTCTTTTGTGAGTATCTATTCTCTTTCTTTGCTGGCCTCAAAGGCGAAATCAGATCCAGGGCCTCCAAGAGAACGTGCGAAAGCTGCCAAAACTGCCCAACCTGTCCCCACTTGCCATCAAGCACCTGTGGATCCGCACGGCCTTGTTTGAGAAGGTCCTGGACAAAATTGTTCATTACCTTGTAGAAAACAGCAGGTGAGTGGGGAGGAATACACTTGGGTGCACTCTGCTTCCACCTGCTGGCCATCTTGGAAATTGCGCCCTCTCTCGCAAAGCTGCTTTCTTTTTGCCCTCTTGATGTACCCTTGATTTGAAAGTGACTAATAAGGACCTCCTGGTTGTTTGACTCTAAACTAGCCAAGCTTAGAACCTTGGGAAGATTTGGGTGCTTAATAGCAATGCAGGATCTTCTGAATTGGAGTGGGGTGTAAGGATCTTGCAGTCTTAAGAGCGGTTTCTTTTCCCATGAATTAAGCCCGCAGTCCATTCGCTGTGTGATCCTAGAGAGTCATTTAGCTTCTCTGTGCCTCTGTTGTCTCCTCTGGTGAATGGGACAGGATGGGAATTGCTGCCACTCTGGAGCAGAGGCGAGAAAAGCAGTTAGTGAGTACACAGCATTTTGCAAAGGCCTAGGGGTATTTTTTACATCTTCTCTCCTAGCTCAGATTGGCCTGGTGTAGAGGTTTTACAGTGTGAGTCCTCTTGGCACACATTCATCCATGGATCTGTTTACTCATCCACTAAATGATTAATGAGCATTTACAACGCCAGGCAATAACCTAGATGTTGAGGATACCCAGGTCTTGCCTGTCATGTTAAGGAACTTGGATATTTGGAAGAGAGCAGCGAGGAGCTGCTGGCGGATCTGTGATCCAAGAGTCCTCATGGGCAGCACTCCTTTTCTTTGCCTGTTTGCTGGGAAAATACGTGTGAAAGTGCAGAGCAAAGCGCTTCCCCTCCCGGAGCTCGCATTGGGCAGGGAGAACAGGCCCATGCTAATGGTGATAATGTGTTGATGAGTCTGCCAGGATGGATGATGGGTGGCAATTAGTTTCCTCTGGGTAGTCAGGGAAAGTGTCCTGGAAGATGGGACAGTCGTGCTTCAATTTGAAGGGCATGTTACCCAGCACAAGTTAGCCAGCAGAAGGTTGTGGGGAAAAGTGTTCCCAGCGGAGGGAACAGCAGGCACAAAGGCCCGGAGGGCAGAGAGGAACTGAAAGAAATCCAGGCTCCAGAGCTCCAGTTAACCTCTGCACCTTCTAGTAATTTATAGCACCTTTCTGCCCTCTGCCTTGCTGTGGGTCCAGGGTCTGTGTAGTTACTGCCTTTGGCACATGAACTTGAGTTTTCCTGCTGAAAAAATTGGTTTATTTAGTAGTTAATTCAAGTAGCTTATTTATTTACTTACTAGAGTAGTTTATTAGGGCTTCCAAGGTGGCTTAGATAGTAAAGAATCTGCCTGCAATGCAGGAGACCCGAGTTCAGTCCCTGGATCAGGAAGATCCCCTGGAGAAGGAAATGGCTGCCCTCTCCAGTATTCCTGCCTGGAGGATTCCATGGACAGAGGAGCCTGGCGGGCCCCAGTCCGTGAGGTCGCAAAGAGTCGGACACACCTGAGCAGCTAAGACACAGACTAGCAATACCAATGCACTGTTTCTTCATTAAACATTTTGGATTTTAGAGCCACAGAATTGAGACAGTAGTACAGAGAATTCTTGCCTACCCTAAGTGTTAACATCCTACATAACCATAGTACAAGTCTCAAAACCAAGAAATTGCCATTGGCATAATACGTTAACCAAACATACTCTTTTTTTTGCTATATAATTCTATGAAATTTAATACATGCCTAGTTTCATAAAACCAACGCCACACTCAGGCTACAGAATACTGTACCAAAGAACCCATCACCCTGAAGAGACTCCCTGGGACTGCCCTCTAGGTCACATCTTGTGCCCATCTATACCTGTGATTTTTAAGGCATTATTTTCAGGTTATGGTCACATAGCTGTGCTAATTTGGGGAACAGAAACTGAGTGGTGGGCTGGAAAGTGTCTCTAAGTATTAGCTTCAGATCTGACACCGAAATGTATAAGCTTGATGTTGAGCATGTCCAAGGCATGTCATTCTGCCCCAGCAGTGTTCTGGGTGGCTGAAGATTTCTTTGGGGTGATACTGCAATCGCGTTGCCACATTTAGTGAGACCCTCTCCTGATGTCAGAACTTAATCCGTGCAGTTGGACATTTATTCCTCCCAGCAGCCCTGGGTGGGTGAGTTGTCATTCCTCCCGTTTTATAGCTGAGGACACTGCAGCTCAGGGAGGGTAGTCGCCTGTCCAGGGACACAGAGAGGGAGGGAGGAGCCAGCCTGGGCTCCCCGTTGGCTAGCCAACTCTAGATCCTGGGCTCTGCACCCGCTGCTGTTGAACGGGAAGAAGAGCTGAACTGGCTGGATGTAGCCTCCAGCCACCTACTGTGTGGCCTCGGGCAAGTCTCTTACCCTCTCTGGGCCTGAGATCCCTCAGAAGTCAGGACAAGGTCCTTTCCATTCTGGAGTTCTCTTTCTAGATCGTATGAATTTGCAAAGAATCCGAGGCCAGTACACAACAATTTGGCCTTCCCTGGTGACAGACGGTAAAGAATCCACCTGCAATACAGGGGAGCCTGGTTCGAAAAGATCCCCTAGAGAAGGGAATGACTCCCCACTCCAGTATTCTTGCCTGGAGAATTATATGGACAGAGGAGCCTGACAGTCCCTGGGCTCACAAAGAGTCGGACACGACTGAGCGACTGAACACACACAACAAGTCAGACGAACAAAAACGGAAACCATTCAGCACAGACGCTGTGCTGACAGCATTGCGTTGATATTTTGGAGAGTCGGAGGCCAGGAGGCATTTCCGAGCATGTCAGACCAGCGTCATCTGCATTGGTTACCCAGATGGGAAGGCCTGTTAGCACAGCTTTTGGGGACACACCGCAGCTAAAATGTGTTTTATTGCCTCGATAACATTAGAAGGGCAGATGTCATCTGAGCCTCTACGTGACTTCCTGTCTGAGATGGAAGATGCAAGAGGAGCAGACAGAATCAGCCAGGCCTCAATAGCCTTCTAATGATTGTTCCTGTTATCATCATCAAGGCTTTTCCACAGCCTTTGTGTTAAGCAGTTACAGCCAAGTGCCGTGCTAAGTGCCTGACATCTGCTGTCGCTCTCAAACATCCTTAGGCAGCCCATAATATTATCATCATGCCCATTTGACAGATGGGGCAGTTGAGGCTCACAGCGGTAACTGGGTGACCAGAGGGGCTTTGAACCCAGTCTGTCGGCTCTCAACCATCAGGATGTAGTCGACTCTGCGCCCTCTGCTGGTCACCATCCAACCCTGCATGTCCTTTCCTCTTGCTAGTAAGTATTACGAGAAGGAAGCTCTCCTGATGGACCCAGTGGACGGCCCCATCCTTGCGTCTTTGCTGGGTAAGTGGCCCAGCCAGCGCTCTGAGCTTCATCTGGATCTCTGGGCTCGGCTCGAGGGGGCGCCTCCTAAGGGCCTGTCTCGCCTCCCTCCAGCTTCCCACCTTCGAAACTGCTCCCTGCCTCCCACTTCCAGGCTCCTGCGCTGGTCTCTCTTTGGCAGGAGCCTGGGGTGCCCGAGCTGCTGGAGGGGAGTGGTCCTTCTGGTGGGAGGAGGGAGACGGGACTGTCCCGGGCGATGGGCTCCCAGCCCCATCTGCTCTGCAGTGGGGCCCTGCGCCCTGGAGTACACCAAGATGAAGACTTCCGACCACTTCTGGACGGACCCTTCGGCCGACGAGCTTGTCCAGAGGCACCGCATCCACAGCTCGCACCTCAGGCAGGACTCGCCCACCAAGCGCCCGGCCCTCTGCGTGAGTGGGGAGGACGGCGGGGCCCCGGGGGGCAGTCCGGCTGAGTTCTGGACTCGGCGTGGAGGTGGGGAGTGGACTGCGGCCTTGATGGTCACTCAGGCCTCACCCGCCGCCTCCCCTCACGTTGCCAGATCCAGAAAAGGCATTCGAGTGGCAGCATGGACGACCGGCCCTCCCTCTCCGCCCGTGACTACGTGGAGTCCCTGCATCAGAACTCCCGCGCCACCCTGCTCTACGGCAAGAACAACGTTCTGGTCCAGCCGGTGAGGGTCCCCGTCTTGGGCCCAGGGCTTCCACTGCGGGTCTGGCTCCAGGTTACAGAGGAGGGGGGGGTCCCTGTGGCCCCAGGTTGCTCATCCATCTATCCATCCATCCACTCACTGATCCGTCTGTTCGTTCATCTGCCAATATCTCCATCTCTCCATCTGTTCACCCACAGGATGGTATTTCCTTCTATCCATTCATCCATCCATTCATCTGTCAGTGTCCCACCCAGCCAGCCAGTCAGCTCTCTTCCAGCCTCTGTATTCACCCATCCCTCTGTTCATGCATCCCTTCACCATTTTTTGTCCATCTGCCTGTATTTATATCTACCCAGCCACCTATCCATTCATCCATCCCTCTCTCCATCATTACGTCCACCCATGCATCCATCCGTCCTTCTACCCATCATCAGCTCCACCCATCAATCATCCATCCACCCATCTTTAACCTCCACCCGTCCATTTGTTCATTTGTTTTCCAGTCCATCTACCCATTACCTTTCCACCCAGCTGTCTTATCTATCATTCTCCCTCATCATCACTCACTCACTCAGTTCCCTCATTTGTGCTGGACCTGCTCTGCACGGGGTGCTTAGGATATCAAGGTGAACATCTTCACAGCCAGTACTTAGGGAGCGCAGCTACTGGCGTGTACATGGGAACTTCTGGACACAGGAACACCTTCCTGTGTACACAGTCACTTTTCCAGTCAGATCACAATCTATCATCTTTTCAGAGACATTTTAAAAAGTCCCCGTACTCTGCATGTGGAGTAAAAACCATTACACCGAACCTCATTGAGGGGTCAACATATAAACGTCTGTGACTGAGTCTGCACAAGACTGGGCAAGGATGACTATGTCACAGTTGTAATATAACTGCTGATTATAAGAGGCATCCCCACTTCAGGTGCATTAAAATGTGAAAAAACAATTGTGTGCCTTAGAATCGATGAAATACGGCAAGGATGCTACCTCCCAGGGTTGCGGTGTGGTTGAGATGATACTGGTGGAGCAGAGCCAGGCCCGGTATACACTCAGTGCTCAGTAAATGTCAGTTGTCTTCTGTCTCCACGTGTTTTGGGGAGTGGGTCTGCAGGGAGGAGAGCTGCCTCTTACGTGTGAGTCTTGGAGCCCCCTCCACCACACCCCACTTGGAATAAAGTGGAGCAAGTGAGAAGCTCAGCTGATGACTTGGGAAGGCGGAGGATGGGGCTGCTGGGCGGGGAGCGTGGAGCAGGTGTCTGGGGAGGGGCTTCTGGGTAACATCTGTGGGATGGGTCATAGAGCTCAGTTGCGCTCTCTTTCTCCCTTAAGACTGGCCACAGTGATGGCAGTAAATGCCTTCTGTTTTGGAAAAGGTATTGTTGAAAGGGCAGAGCCCCGTTCCTTGTTCTAAAGACCACCCCCCCACAACCCTGCCTTTGCATTAGGGCCCTGGGTAGAACGGGCGGCTTCAGCAGCTGACCCTGCAGACCCAAACCCATCCTGGTGGTTGGCGGCAGAAGGCTTGGTTAGCACAGCCACGTAGAGGGAGGGTCGGGGCTTCCAAACGGACACGGCCTTGGAGGGAATGAGCCAACCTCTCGGTTCTGGCTGTGTGCCCGCGAGTGCCACAGGTCGGGGCCCGTGTCCTCTGTGGCTCCGGCACCACGACCAGGCCTGAGTCCCCCTGTCTCTGCAGAGAGATGACATGGAGGCCGTCCCGGGGTATCTGTCCCTGCACCAGACGGCTGACGTCATGACCTTGAAGTGGACGCCCAACCAGCTGATGAATGGGTCTGTGGGGGACCTGGACTATGAGAAGAGGTGAGCCCCTCCCTCCCCTCAGCGCAGGGCCGATCGTGCCCCATCCCGTGCGCCCTGCCCCGGCCCTGTTCCGTCTGTTATGACCATGTGGTCCAGCCTCCCTGCACCTGTGGCCTCATGGGTAGTTCATGGGATCTGAGAACCAACTGGAAGAGTATTAGGGGACGGGCATTGGGCAGTGCCTTGAGCAAACACCACCGGGAGAGAGAAATACTAACAAAGATCTTGTAAGCCCAGAAATGACAGTATTCCCCGGTCTCCAGCCACATTACCCATCACTCGATGCAAAAGGAAGCCGGAGGTGTTGGTTGTGAGCATCTCCTCTAGGGCTCCTGGATACCCTGTGAGTTATGAGACCCAACAGAGGCCTTGGAGTCATGCTTCTAAGAGACCTAGTGGCTGGGGATTCTATTATCATTGGACATGTGCCTGACTTCCTCAAAACTTTTGCTTATGGGAAATTTCTAACATAAAGGGCTTCCCTGATAGCTCGGCTGGTAAAGAACCCACCTGCAATGCAGGAGACCCCGGTTTGATCCCTGGGTCGGGAAGATCCTCTGGAGAAGGGACAGGCTCCCCACTCCAGTATTCTTGGGCTTCCCTTGTGGCTCAGCTGGTAAAGAATCCGCCTGCAATGCAGGACACCTGGGTTCGATCCCTGGGTTGGGAAGATCCTCTGGAGAAGGGAAAGGCTGCCCACTCCAGTATTCTGGCCTGGAGAATTCCATGGACTGTATACCCCATGGGATCGCTAAGAGTCAGACATGACCGAGTGACTTTTCACTTTTTCACTTTCTAACATAAAAGTAGAAAGAACTGAAGTACCCATCACACAGCCCTAACAACCTTCCCCTCACCATCCTCTGCCCTGCGTTTCCTTCTGCAGTAGCAAACAGACGTCATAGGATTATAGGATTTTATCTAGAAGTTTATATACATACTTGTAAATATAAATGTAAATATATGTATGTGTGTATATATATATGTATTTATATACATGTGTATGTGCGCATGTGTGTGTGTATGTATATGTGTAGAATAAGGACTCTCTTCAAGGGCCATAAACAGAGCACTGTTGCTGCGTTCTGTGTGATGTTAAGCCTCAGTGCGATTACCGCCAGGCTTTGGTGTGATTAATATCATTCTCTAAGCTGATCACTTCCTGGGCAGAGGTTACCATCTGTCCTCAGAGAGGGTCATTGGGAGGTACAGTCAGTCCTCAGCTGGGCCAGATAATTCAACTCCAGCCAGACACCTAAGTTTCTTTTTTCTTTTTTTTTTTGACACCTAAGTTTCTGATGGAGAAATCCTCTGGGAGCCAGGAAACACTCTTGCCCATGAAGCTTATCTCAGCTTACTCATCTGAAACCTCAGTATCAGACCTTCTACGACCTCCCAGCTGAGTTCAGAGCCCTGAATCTCCTTCTTAGCATTTACAAAATTGTAATAAATCTGTCCCTACTTGTTTTCTGACTGTCTCACCCTTTAGATCTCAGTTCTGTGAAGGCAAGGAAGGAGTCTGTCTTGCTCACATCTTCTCCCCAGCATCTGCTGGTGACAGAAAACCAAACTCAAGCTGCCTGAAGCATTGGCTCTCATGAACCGAAAAAAATCCAGGGGTGGTGGCTTCAGGCGGGGCTGGATCCAGGGACTCAAATGAGGACCCAAACCCTTTCCATCTCTTGGCTCTACTTTCCTGACTGTTGATTCCATTCACAGGCAGGCTTTTCTTGCCAGGGCTCTTTATGTCTCCAGACTTCTGTCGTCCTTACCGCTACTCTCCTAGCAGAAAGCCCTTCTTTCCCAGAGATTTCTCACGTAGATCTAGTAATTGAGTCTCACTGGTTCTGCCTGGGTCATGGTCCAGAACAGTGTCATATGATGATCCGCCAAGCCAGGGTCAGGTGCCCATTCCTGGAGTCCTGAAGGGGGAGGGTAGGAGAGGTCAGCCTCAGCCACATGGACTGGGGTTAAAGAAATGTGTGTGTAGGGGGCAAGTTGGAAAACTGTGATACTGGAGCCAGAAGAAGGGGAGATAGGGTCTGCGAAGACTGGGGACATGGATGTTGGGGTTAGGTGGTCCTGGTGAGGCAGGTGGAGGAGCCTGTGGGTGGGGCGTCCCCGTGATGAGCAGGACAGGCATCCTGCAAGCCTGGCCCTCCCTCCCCTTCCAGCGTCTACTGGGACTACGCAATGACCATCCGCCTGGAGGAGATTGTCTACCTGCATTGCCACCAGCAAGGTAGGGACTGCGGGTAATCATGGGGCCGGGAGTTCCTCCTGGGTCCCCTGCCTTCCCCACCCCCTTATTACCTGTGCAGCCTCAGACGAGTGGCCTCACCTCTCTGAGCCTCAGTTTCCACATCTGTAAAATGGGGATAGTAACAGTATCTGCTCATGGGGTTGTTGTGAGGATCAAGTGACATTTGTTACGGGCTCAGCATCAAAGCCATGTGTCAGGCACGGTTCTCACTATTCACGTGCCTGCTATTTAATCTTTGCTACAGCCCACTGCTAGAGGCACCGTCATTCCCATCTTAGAGCTGAGGAAGCAGCATGGCACAAAGACATCCTTTCTAAGCTCCCCAGTCTGGTGCCAAAGCCAGGCCTTTGTCCCTCCAAAGTCAGTGTTCTGAAAATTGAAGATTTATAACTGTAGTTTATAGTTCAAAGAAGGTATATTCTGAATAAGTGAAAGGCCATCCTGCTTTAGAAAGCAAGGTGTCTGCACCTCACCAAGGCACAAAAGACAGTGGTTTAAGCCTATTTAATGACACACACCTGGGTTCAAACCCAGGCTCTGCTACTCACCAGCTGTGTGGCCTTGGGCAAGTGACATAACCTCTCTGAGCCTCAGTTTTATCATTTGCAAAATAAGCAATAACAGATATGCCTCACAGGGCTGTTTTGAGTATTACAGTAAGACAGTGCCTTTAATGTGCTGTGTATGTATACAGTAAGTGCTTAAGGTGTGTAATGCATGCTAGCAAGAGGCAATTGCTGCCCTGCAGAGGGATCTATCTGACAGCCTCCATACAGAAATAGGTCAGGTCAACCTGCTGAGGGTGTTTGAGGGGGCATCATCTTCCTTTGTCGGGTGACTGCAGGGAGGCCACCCACCTTTGTCTTGACCTTGTCCTGTCATTCTCCAGTTGATGACCATGGCAGGTAGGATGAGGGAGACTCAGAGCAGGTGAAAGCTGCCCCTGACCTTCTGCCCAGGCCTTTCCCAGAGCCTCGGAGTGGGACCCCTGGGTCTGGCTGGGGATGTTTGGGGAGGAGGGGGACTCCCCATGCCTCATAGTGACTTCCTGCCGGGTCTCCTCTGGCCGGGTCGTGGCGGCAGTGGACAGCGGCGGGACAGTGGTGTTGGTCAGCCAGGACGGGATCCAGAGGCCGCCCTTCCGCTTCCCCAAGGGAGGGCACCTCCTGCAGTTCCTCTCGTGCCTAGAGAACGGGCTGCTCCCTCATGGGCAGCTGGACCCGCCACTCTGGTCTCAGCGGGGGAAGGTGAGTGATCGTGGGGGGCCCAGGGAGGCAGGGCTGGGGGCCAGCCGTGGGGAGTGGCTGTTCTTGCCTTCGGGCCCTTGAGTGGCTGTGTGGGCTCATGCACGCCCCACAGGGACCCTCAGGGTGTGCAGGTTGCTGGACAGGTGTGTCCCAGGGGCCAGGCCTTGGGGTGTGTTCTTTCAGGGCAAAGTGTTCCCCAAACTGCGCAAGCGAAGCCCCCAGGGTTCATCCGAGTCCACGTCTTCAGACAAGGAAGATGACGAGGCCACGGATTACGTGTTCAGGATCATCTACCCTGGCACGCAGTCTGAACTCGGTAAGCGGCCCTGGCCCTCGGCCCGGGGAGTCAATCTGTTTAGCTGGTCCTGAAATTGACTTCAGCTACGTGGGACCAGAGGACAAGAGATGTGAATTCTGGGGTTAGCAGGGGGACTTGGAATCAAGAAATTAGGGTCTCGGCAGCCTTGATTTTCTTCCAGATGAATAACCACTCTCTACTTGGCTAACTTAGATGTCCCTGGGTGTGAGGTGGCATGGGGTAGCAGCTGTGACGTGGGCTCTGGAATCCTGGTATAACTTGAGCAAATCCCTTCACCCCTCTGTGCCTTGGTTTCCTCATCTGTAAAATGGGGATGTTCATAGCACCTATTTCACAGGACTCTCACGAGGATCAAATGAGATAAAGTACTTGGCCCAGAAAGAACACTCAAATGCTATTATGTGGTTGTTACTGTTATTTTTTTTTACTTCAACAGATTGTTGTAAGGATTCAGTGAGATAATAAGCTGGTCATCGTAGAGCTCATAGAATGAGGCCTCGCATACCGTAGGCCAAGTGGTTGTCAAGAACAGCAGAGGGGGTGATCCCCTGGCAGTCCAGTGGTTAGGACGCTGCACCTTCACTGCCGAGGGAGCGGGCTCCATCCCTGGTTGGGGAACTAAGATCCAGCAAGTCGTGCAGCGTGGCCAAAAAAATAAATAAAAGACAGCGGGGGGAAGGACGACCCTAGACCCTGGCCCACGAGGTTGTGACGTATGTCCTGCCGTTTGCATGGGGCCTGCTGAGAAGTCGTGCTTAGTGAATGCAAACTGCGTTTGCTACAAAGATCATCCATTCCAGCGGGCTGTGGTGGCGATTAAATGAATTAATATTTGAAAAATTCTCAGAAGGAAGCCTGGCATTTGTTAGGCACTGTATGCGTGTCTGTTAAACAAGTGAGTAATAAGCTATAGCTTGTTTCTGGAAACCTCATTTTATCTAACCCTCTGTGGCCCCCTTGTCCCCATTTGATGGATAATGGCTCCGAGATTCCCTTTGTTTAAGGGACCACAGCTGGGCGGTGAGGGCGTTTTTAAAGCAGACGTCCTCCCTGGCGAGGTTGGACTCATCGTGCCAGGCCTCTTAATGCTCTCGCTCCCATCCACTGCTGTCAGAGCTGGGGTGTGGGGGCCGGCTTGGTGCTAAGGTCTTGGGTTAGCCTGTGTTTTCTTGTGTGTTCCTTTATGGCCCGTTAGGAGGAAAGCCTTACATTCCTGTGTCATTAAGAGCCATAGAGTGTCCTGACGTGTATCCCTACATCTGTTCCCGCCCAGGATCAAGGTCTGGAGCTGGCCCAGCCTCTCTGTGGTACCACTTCCCCCCAGAGAGCTGATTCATCCGAAGGCCAGGTGCCCAGCTGCTGCCTTCCCTGGCAGCTGGCTCTGCGGGGACCCATCCAACACATGATTTGTAGGCTCTAGCTGGGAGCCAGGCTGGGTGCTCCATGTCTTTCCTCTTTGGGGAATATCCACGTCAGCCTGTCGTGGTCCTGCGTGTGCCAGGGGAACAGATGCTATCTGCGCCCACTCACACCCTCTATGCGTGCAGCTCCTCTGCCATCTGCCAGCCTCGTGTCTCCTTGCCTCAGGGTTTCTGCAGCCACCAGGGTTCCTCTGCCCGTGGGTGGGGTGGCCTACCTTGCCTCCCTGGAGCAGCAAGTGACTGGCAGGAGCTGTGTATAAATGCCCCAGCTCTCTCACCCCTCGAGTGAGAACATCCTGAAACGTGTGTTCTGCGCGTGTCCAAGAGACCCCTCACGAGATCAAGTACCAGTAGTCCATAACGGCAACGTCCATGGTGACTAACTCGCTACTCCCTTCACCCTTCTCCTCCTGGGTCCCTTTATCTCTCCCTACCCGTGCTTCTTGGAAACATCTCCCAACTTGCACTTAAATCCTGTCTGCCTTCAGGGAAACCCCAACCAAGTCAGTGTGTTTAAAACAGGGTTTCTTAATCTTAGCACCACTGACATTTCAGATGGAATAATTCTTTGAAGTGGAGGCTGTCCTATGCACTGTAGGATGTGTATTTAAAACCAAACATCACTTTGCCAACAAAAGTCTGTATACTCGAGGCTATGGTCTTTTCAGTAGTCATGTACAGATGTGAGAGCTGGACCATAAAGAAGGATGAGCACCGAAGAATTGATACTTTCAAACTGTGGTGCTGGAGAAGACTCTTAAGAGTCCCTTGAACAGCAAGATCAAGCCAGTCAATCTTAAAGGAAATCAACCCTGAATATTCATTGGAAGGACTGATGGTGAAGCTCCAATACCTTGGCCACCTGATGCAAAGAGCCAACTCATTGGAAAGACCCTGATGCTGGGAAAGATTGAGGGCAGGAGGAGAAGGGGGCGGCAGAGGATGAGATGGTTGGGTGGCATCACTGACTCAATGGACATGAACTTGGGCCAACTTCGGGAGATGGTGAGGGACAGGGAGGCCTGGAGTGCTGCAGTCCATGGGGTCACAGAGTCAGACACAACTTGGTGACAGAACAACAAGAGAAATTCTTTATGGTGAGGGCTGTCCTATGCACTGTATGACGCTGAGCAGCTTCCCTGGTCTCCACTCACTGGATGCCAAGTAGTGAATCCGTCCCCACTACCAACACACTGTGACAGCCAGAAATGTCTCCAGACATCACCAAGTGTCCCTTGGAAAGCCAGCAGCACCCAAGTTGAGACCCGCTGATCTAGGGCAAGGATGGGTTAGGGAGTCAACAGCCAATAGGAGAACAGCTGAGAGGGTATGAATAGGATCTCGGGGTCTGACCCTCTGAGTTGGAATCCCACCTTCACCACTTATTAGCTGGGTGGTCTTGGGCATGCTGCTTAAACTCACTGTGCCTCAGTCTTCTAATCTTTAAAAGGGGTTAATGGTAGGACTTGAGCTCAGAAAGTGACAACTGTTGTTAGTGGGAAGAGAAGAAGGGACTTTAGCCAAAAAGACTGGATACCCCAGTGACGACCTGGTGAGGCTTTGGGTGAGTAAGTTGTCTTGTCGTTCTGAGCCTCCGTTTTCTCTCGTGCAAAATAGGACACAAAAACATCCCTTACAGCAGGGGTCCGCACCCTCCAGGATCCAGTGCCTGCTGGTCTGAGGTGGAGCTGATGCAATAATAACAGAAATAAAGTGCACAATAAATGTCACGTGCTTGAATCATGCTCAAACCATCCACCCCAACCCTGGTCCGTGGAAAAGTTGTCTTCCCCAAATCCAGTCCCTGGAGCTGAAAAGGTTGGGGATCACTGCCTTACAGGCTCATCAGAGGTGAGGCGGTTCCCTTTATGGTATGGCACCCAGCACATAGTAGGCTCTTTATAGATGTCGGCATTCTTTCTTCCTCTAACAAACACAAGCCACGGGAACTGTGTGGAGCAGGACGGGGAAAGTTTCAACCCCCGGGGAATTGGTTCCTCCGCCTTTTCAGTGTCCTGTCCCACCTACCGCAGACCTTCCATTTCATTGGTGTTTTTATTTTTGTCTCTTAAGTTGCTTCCAGCCCCCTGGGCAGCCCTCCCCGCATCTCCGCGGGCCCTGCCTGGATGGTGGTTCCTGCAGGCCGGTCCGTGTTAGTGGTGGCCAGGGGCAGCCGGTGGGCGCAAGCCAGATGGGACACGACCCTCCCCACGTCATGCCTGAAGCCGCAGCCCCTCAGTAATGTCTGGGCTCCCCTCACCCCTGGGACTGGGCGCTGGCTACCTCTGCCATGTTGTCATTTGAGTCTTGGTCCTCAGGGGGAGATGGAGGCAGGGGAAAAATTTGATGCCCTTACACGGTCTTGCCTTTGTGCTACAAGACACAACTTGGAGTGTTGTGGGTTCAGCAGCAGAGGGGTCCACTGATGATGTCTGCAGGGGGCGAGAGGCTGGGGCTGGGGGCATGCTTGCCACACCGGGGCCAGTCTCCTGACCAGTGCTTCCCGGAGGTTGGCTGAGAACTGGGATGTTTTCAAGAACATTTTATAGGGGCTGACTGGTCTTTCTTGGCCAGTTCATTGGTGAGTCTGCTACAAAGCCACTTTTGATGGACCCCAGAACCTCATTCTGTTAGCGGTTTTCTGTTCTGTCCGTGGGTGGGCAGACACTGTCAACAAGGGCGCTGTGATGACTGGTGGGGCCAGGTCCATAGCTCCTCCTCTCCTTAGAGCCCAAGGGGAGAGGCCAGGTATTGCCAGCCATCGTTAAGGAGGTGCTGCTCATCGGGCAAGTGTGTGCCCCTCTAAGTTCCTAAAGCAGGGCTTGGCAAGCTAAGGCTTGCCAAAATCCAAATCCTCTATTTCGCTCATGAACTGAGGTTGGTGTTGATGTTTTTAAATAATTGAAAAAAAAAACACAATATTTTGTGACAAGTGAAAATGATATGAAATTCACATTATAGTGTCCCTGAATGAAATTTTATTAGAACATAACCCATCCTCATTTGTTTGCAATTTTTTTGGCTACTTTTGTTCTATGATGGCAGAGTAAAATGGTTATGATAGTGACCAAATGTCTTGCAAACCCTCAAATATTGTATACCTGACCCTTTACAGGAGATAGTCAGCAAGTCCTGTCCTAGAGAAAATACCACTTTTTGCACCAAGAGGCTGGGAAATTAACCATAGAAATGGTAATGCCTGGGTCACTGGTATGTCTGTTCTGCAGCATTGCAAATGCTGTGGCTTCCATGGAGCCAGGAAAAAACAATATGGGGAACTGCGAGTGGTACATCCTTGGGAGCAGTTGATCAGGAACCACCAGTGTCCAAGAGTTAGGAGATCATTTGTGCCCCTTAGTTCTCAGACAGGGCTGCTACCTCAGAACTCTTTCTGAAAGACAGATCCGAGGGCTGTATCACCAGGAGACTTTAGTTCAGTAGGTCAGGCATACAGGTGGGATAGAGGCATATGGCTTTTAAACAAGCACGCCACGTGATTTTGGGGGAGTTGCCAGCCTGTTTGAGGCTCTCTTGGTAGAGCAGCTGTAGGAGCAGGACCATGGACCATGCAGGCATCTTCATCAGTGGGGGCTCCTCTGGGTCCCCTTGCTATTGAGTGTCCTGCCTCCCCTGTTGAGCCAGGCTCCCTTACATCTCATCACCAAGGGCTCCCCATGAGACCTACCCCTGGGGACTCGAGGCCATCGGTCCCCCCAGGATTCCCCAGCGGGCTCCCCCGCCTTCCTGCCAGCCTCCCGTGAGGACAGTTGAAGGACAACATGGTGGGGGTTGGCCTCATGCTCTGCGACTGGGCCTGTTTGTCTGGCTCTGATCTCTTTCTGTCTCTTCAACTGCCATCAGCCCTTCCTATCACCTTGGGGACCCGCAATCTTGGTGGTGGCTTCCATTGACTTGGATGGGCTCAAGGACCTGGGTCAGACGGTGATTGAGGTCGCTGTTTCCTACTGTGCCATTCCGGGTCTTTCGCTGTCCCTGCGCTGGTGTGGGGGTGAGCTGCTTGCTTTGGGGTGAGGTTTCTGTGACCCACAAAAGCTTTCAGGGCTCTCCTTCTGCCCTTGCCCCCACCACAGTTCCCCAGGACCTAATGGATGTCTCTGTGAGCAACCTGCCATCCCTGTGGCAGCCCAGCCCCCGGCAGTCCTCCTGTTCCTCCTGTTCACAGAGTGGCTCGGCTGATGGTGGCTCAACCAACGGCTGCAACCATGAGAGGTATGAGGGGCTTGGGCTGTGGACGGAAGAAATGCAAGCACTGACTGGAGGTGTGCAGGCACCCATTTCTTGTCCTGCACTGAATTCAGGGGAGTTAACATAGGCTATAGCAGCATCCAGGGCTTCCCTAGTGGCCCAGCGGCGAACAGCCCACCGGTCAATGCAGGAGAGGTGGGTTCAATCCCTGGGTGGGTGAGATCCCCTGGAGAAGGAAATAGCAACCCACTCCAGTATTCCTGCCTGGGAAATCCCACGGACAGAGGAGCCTGGCTGGGCTACAGTCCATGGGGTCGCAGAGTCGGACACGACTGAGCGACTAAACAACAACAACAACATAGAATCATTCAGATCTTGGTTAAATCCTAGCCTTGTGAAGTCCTAGCTTCCTTACATTTATCAGTCAGGATCAACAAGGTACTGTCGCTGTAACAAACAGTCCTAAAATCTCAGTGATTTATTACAACAAAAAATGACTTATCATGCATGCTCTGTGTCTACCATGCATCAGCAGGGGTCTTTGCTTTTTCTACATTCACGGGCCTGGCAGATGGAGTTACCACCATCTTGAATATCGTGAATACCAGTGACTAAAGGAAATGCTTGCTTTATTTAGCTGTCTTAAGGACAAATAATGGTTTAAAAGCGGCCAGTCCATGTACTGGGCACATGGTGATATTCAGTAAATGACACTTCTTAAATTTATTGCATAAAGTTAAATCCCCAAATGATCTCTCTCCTTGTCCACAGAGCTCTGTCTTCTCCAGACTACTCGGCCTATTCGCGAGACTGGTCATATTTCCCACTGACCCAGCCTGGCCTGGCCTGGGAGAGTGGAATCCTTTTTTCCTTGCTGGGCCTCTGTCCCAGTGCATGGCCCATTCTTCAGTCATGGGAATATAAGTGGGGGCCAACGTCCAGTCTGTGAAGCCACAGAACTCCTGGCTGTCAGTGTGGTCTGTGGGCCAGCAGCATCATCACCTGAGCAGATTCTCTGCCCCTCACCCCAGAACTACTGAAGCTGAATCTGCATTTTAACACATCACCTAGGGTCCCAAGATGAAGTGTGTGCTTGTAAGCTTGAGAAGCACTGAAATGACTAGAGATTCTCACTTTTAATATCCATCAGAATCACCTTGGGGATCACATACTGCTTCCTCGACCACTTCCTGGAGATCCTGATTGAGTAGATCTGTGCAGGGCCTAGGAATCCACATGCTGGAGAAACCCCAAGTGATTCTGTGACTGATGGTCCCTGGACCATTGACAAATGCTGCTCTAACCCCGTACCCCCACTCATAGCATCTGCTCCACAGCTGCAGTGGTGGGGAACTCACCACCTTACGGACAGCCAAAGCCGCTTTAGAGAGCAGCGACCAGTGTGATGCTGCCCTTATGTAACCTGAGGCTGCCTGAGCCTCATCAGCCTAAGGGCACAAGAGGGTGTCTTTAGTGCTTAACGCCTCCCTGGAGGACTTCAGCCATGCCTCCTTCCCAGTCTCCCTGGGTTTTTAATGGGTGTGATATTCTTCTACTCTGTTCTCTCCAAGAATGGACCACACTTCTTTCAGCAGTCCTGTTTTCCCCATCAGTTCTGAGGCCATATTTCTCTCTCCTCTTTCACCTAAAACAGCATCCCTGTCTCAAATTCCCATGCAAGGAGAATCTCTGAGGCATTACCTGCTTTGCAATTAACCAGACTCTGAATCACAGACTGTCTCCTTTCTGGTTCAGCTGGGTCACCTTAGAAGTCAGAACATTTTCTGCTGGTAATGGAAACCCACTTCCAACTGGTGCAAATGAAAAATAAAACGTATTGATAGAACAGACATCCGGCAGCATGGGGCTTCAGGCATGGCTGGATCCAGATGTGCCACACAGGAATGTGCTTCTTTAGCTCTCAGCTCTGCTTATCTCTAAGATGGTTTCATTCTCAGGCCGGCCCTTCCTATGCAGCAATAAAAATGGATCCTAGCAGCTGCTGCCCTGTATCCCACTGGCTTAGGAACTCAAGTAAAGAAGAGTGTCATTTTTCTAGTAGATGTGCCAGGGTTGATTCTCATTGGCCCAGGTTGAATCATGTGATGCCCCCCTGACCCAAGCACTGTGCCTCTAAGCTGAGTCATGTACTGGGTAGAATCAGCTCCACCCAAAGCATAGGAACAGAATTGGGAAGGAAGAAACTTCCAAAAAGAAGGGGCAGTGATGCTACGCAGATGGAAACAGCAGTACCCCTGGTCTCTTTGACTGGCTGGTTCTCATCTGCTCCCCAGAGATAATGAGTTATGTTCCTCTCCAGCAAGCTCAGGCTATGTGTGGATCTGTACTAAATGTCTTCCTTTTGCTCCATGTGCAGGGCTCCCTTGAAGCTTCTCTGTGACAATATGAAGTACCAGATCCTTTCCAGAGCCTTCTATGGATGTGCGTATTGGCCTATTTGCCATTATGGTCTCCAGGGAGCATTTATTCAGTGCCTACTGCATATCAGCAGTATTAGGGGAATGAGCCTGGCTGTTTCCTAGGTGTCTAGTGTTGGTTAAGTTACAGTAACCTCCCTGAGCCTCAATTTCCTCTTTTACAGATTGGGCATGAAATTTCTCCCATGGTTCTAAAAAAAGGCAGTGAACAATGGGGCTCCTTGCTGGAAGGAGCAAGGTTTAATTACCATTGCATCTCTTGTTTCCCACCTTAGAGGGTGTGTTTTCAGGATTAAATGGAAACATACATAAAGCACCTAATATTGCTTGCAGTTGGTGCTCGATAGATGTCAGTTCTTTCTTCCTATAGGCAGGAGCAGAAGAGTAAGATGGCCTAATCCCTTTCCAATAACGTAAAAACTAAGTTACTAACACAGGTGCTCTGATGGTTTCCAGTTAACAAGTGAGGAAACTGAGGCACAGAGAGGCACAAGGACTTGCCAAAGGTCACACAGCAAAAGTGACAGCGCTGGGGCTCTCAAACCCAGGCCTGCAAGGACTGTTTTTCCACTCTCCTATTTTGATTCTTTAGCAGGTTTTATTTCCCCAACCTCACAGCCTCGATGGGGGTGATAAAACATGTGTATATTTTCAGGAAATCTAGGAAAGTGTTACTACATCCTGCATGGGCCTGTGAAAAAATAGTGGAGATCATATCAGCCTGGAGAGACGGGGAAAGCGTGAGCTCCCCAAGGTCAAGCTTTTTGCCTGTTCTGTTACCATCCATCCGCAGTGCCTAATGCAGGGCCTGGCATGGAGGAGGTGCTGGGCAAGTATTTATGAAACCACAGTGGAGGAGCTTCCTGGTGGAAGGGGTGGGAGTCAAGGTGGGCTTGATGCCTTTACATGATGTGGCTCCTCCCTGGTGGTGGTTGAGAGCCCAGATTCTGGAGCAGATGGTCTGCGTTCATATCCCAGCTCCACACCTAGCACCGTGACCTGAGCAAGTGAAACATGCAGACTGTGCCTCGGTATCCCCATCTGTAAGATGGGCATAGTAAGAGGACCTGCTTCATAGGGTTGTCGTGAGAATCAACTAAGTTATCTAAGCTCTGGGAGCGGCACCGTGGGACAGAGTGTGTGCTGTGTATGTGTCAGCTATCCCACCGTCGTCATCATAATCATCGTGATTAGCCCGATTGTTGGTGGGTTGAGTCCTCAGGCTCCAGCTGGTCCAGGGTCTTCTCTGGGACTTGAGGATGAATTGGGGGTCAGGAGTAACCAGAAGGAAAGAGCATGGTCAGAGCAAACACAGGCCAGCGTTTGCTGAATCCTGTATGTGGGCCAGGTGCTGTGGCCTCCAGGCACCCAGGGTGGAGCCAATGAAGGTTGGCGGGTAATCCTCTAAGAGTGCAGAGCCATCTTAGAAAGCAAACCAGTGCCTTCAGCATCTCCCCTGCTACTGACCTCAGGGCCTTCTTTATCCAGCTGCAATTCGAACAAGTCCTCTCCTCTCCCATTCTCTCTCTTGGTATTCACTGGAGGCACCCTGAGGCACAGTGAGCCCATAGAGTCACTTGCCCCTTCCTGCCTCCAGCCTGTGAATTAAATGCCTTGGTTTCCAGCCGGAGAGGAGTGGGCATCACCCCAATTGAGGCTGAGAGAGGTGACATGACTTCCCCAGGGCCGCAGGGCCATGAAGCAGTTAAGCCAGCAAGTAATTTCGCCCCTCTGAGCCTCACCTTCCTCAACCTGGAAAAGGGGGATGATGAGAATTTGCTGGTCACAAGGGTTCGGTCAGATTGCGAGGAGGACAGTACTTTGGAGACTTCGTGAGACAAGGTGGGGGTGCTGGATGGTGGGCAGCGACACTTTCCCTCCCTCGCCGCAGGGCTTGCCTACTGCAGACACCTGTCTACCGTGAGGACCCACCTGTCAGCCCTGGTCAATCACATGATCGTGTCCCCTGACTTGCCCTGTGATGCTGGACACGGGCTGACGGCCGGGATCTGGGAGCAGTACCTACAGGACAGCACAGTAAGGCTTGGCCAGAGACTTTGGGGGGACAGAGACTATGGGGACCTCTTATCATTCTTCAAAGAATGAAGAATGCAAGTGTACATATTTTTTAAAAGTTTTGAGATAGTATGTCTCTGCCACACCCACCCCCCCAGTTCTGATCCCTTAAATTAATGACTAGTATCAGTTTGGTGTAGAGCTTGCTATACATTTCCTATACTTATACATTCACAGGTATGTCTATATAGATATAGCTGAAATTCATTTTTTAATGAGGTGACATTATATTTGCATTTTGAGTGGTCAACTTACTTTTATATGAAGGACATCTTTCAGATCCTAGGTGAAATACTGCATGTTAGAACCTTAGCCCCTCATATATGTATGGACCATAATTTAGTCAAATCTTCCTCTAATGATGGACATCTAGGCTGTTCCTGTTTCTTTTCTTTTTTTTTAAAATTATTTCAGCAGTGCTGTAGTCAACATCTTTATAAGCATATACCTTTCTGTACTAGTTTTCTTATTTCAAGGGTAGATTCTTAGAAATAAAGCTGTTTGATGTCCATTTTCAATTTAAATGGATATGACAGCTTACCTTTCTCGAGAAGTTAAAGTGTTCATAATCCCTGGCAGTCTGTGAGCATGATTGCACATTTCCTAAGGAATGCAAAAGATTTATCGACTTCTGGGCCCCACTCCAGATTTACTGATTGAGAACTTCTAAGAGTGGACCCCAAGAATTTATATTTTGGGAATTTCCCATGGAATTCCCTGGTAGACCAGTGGTTAAGGCTCCATGCTTTCATCGCTGAGGTCCCAGGTTCAGTTCCTAGTTAGGGAACTAAGATCTCTCAGGCCACATGCTGCAGCCAAAAAAAAAAAGAAAGAAAGAAAAGAAAGTTCCCCAAATGCTCCTAGAGATCTCCCCAGTTTGGGAAGCACTATCCTAAGGACAAATTGGCTGAAGCAATAAATAGTCAAAACGGATGTTTTTCATCTAACGCTTCTGCACCCACTTACTACCTGCTTGGTTGTATTGTTGTATCAGGGTTGCAGTAACACCATAGTCCCTGCTGTTTTAGTTACTTGACACTATAGAGGTATATTTCTTACTCATTTATTAATAACAGCAATTGGAGATTTCCTAGGCTTTTGCTTTTTCAAATATGATGCCATCTGTGTCCATGTGGCTTTGCTTGTTCACAGCATGATCACTGAGGGCTAGGTCCGATAGCTGGGACTACTGGGTCACAGTACCCACGCCCTAGTTTTGTGTTGATCAAATCTTTGCCTCCCCCACCTACCAGAGTTACGAGGAGCAGGAGCTGCTACGTCTCATCTACTACGGGGGCATCCAGCCGGAGATCCGCAAAGCCGTGTGGCCTTTCCTCCTGGGCCACTACCAGTTCGGGATGACAGAAACAGAGAGAAAGGAGGTTGGTTACCCCAGAGGGGCAGTGGGGTCCTTGGCAACAGGAAGAGCCAGGTACCGTGGGGGTGGGGAAGCTCTAGTCCCCTGGTGGACCAGGGGGACAGGGAGATATGGGGGAGCAGGAAGGTTGAGAGCAGCACCGTCCATTAAATGCAGCACAATCCACAGATGTCGTTTCTTTCAAATAGCTTTTTTGAGATAATGATAGATTCACATGCACTTGTAAGAAATAATGCAGAGACATCTCCTTCATCCAGCTTTCCCACAATGGTAACTTCTTGCAAAACTGTAATACAATTTGTCATAAGCAGGATATTGACATCAACATGGATATATACTGGCAGTATATCAATCTTCATTTTTAAAGTCCATATTCTATTGCGTTTCTTTTTGTTGTTGTCTATAATAAATGTCTATATTTTTAACTGAGATATAGTTTATTTACAACATTATGTTAGCTTCAGGTATTTAACATACTGATTTAAAATTTTTATAAATTAGGGATTTCCTTGGTGGTGCAGTGGTTAAGACTCTGTGCTTCCCATGCATGGAGCACGGGTTCAATCCTTGGTCTGGGAACTAAGATCCATATGGCATGCAACATAGTCAAAAAATAAGATTAAAAAAAAATATATTAAACTTACTGATTAACATAGTGCCTGACATATAGTAGACATTCAATAAATATTTTACTCGGTCCGGACATCTGGACTTAACAATTAAAAAATGTTTTTATAAATTACAGTCCATTTATAGTCATTATAAAATATTGGGTATATTCCATGTGCTATATAATATTTCCTTATACACACACACACACACACACACACACACACACATATACATGTATATATATATATGTCAGTCTTGATCAGACTTCCCATTTTACTTGTGCTCACGTGTGTGTGTCTATGTAGTTCTCCACAGTTTTATCACACAAGTGGATTTGTGTATCACCACCACAGTCAACATGCTGAACATTTTCTGGTGCTGCTGTGGTCCTCATGTCCTTTTATAGCCACACCCACCTCCCTCCCGCTCACTCCCATCCCTGACCCCTGACAACCACTGATCTGTTCTCTCTGGCTGACCGTGCATCTACCCTGGCAGGTGGACGAGCAGATTCATGCCTGCTACGCACAGACCATGTCTGAGTGGCTGGGCTGCGAGGCGATCGTGCGGCAGAGGGAGCGGGAGTCCCACGCGGCCGCCCTGGCCAAATGCTCATCGGGGGCCAGCCTGGACAGCCACCTGCAGCGGATGATGCACCGGGACTCCACCATCAGCAACGAGGTGACGGGTGGCTCCCCGCGGGGAGCCAGGTGGAGGCTAAAGGCTGGGCTCTGCTTCGTGGGGCTGCTGAAGGAAGGGCGAGGGCTGGGTGTCTGGGGCCTTAGCACAGACCTGACTCCAAACTCCAGCCCCTTCATTTCTTAGCTCTGGGGCTCAGGCAAGCAGCTTTACTTCTGGACCTCAGTTACCTCATCTATGAAATGGAAATGATCATTTGTATAGGGGAGATTTGCGTGCAGCTCCAACAAGATAGTATATATTAAAGTACCCAGCACAACATTAGACCTTCACTTATTCAGCAAATGCTGTTGAGTACTTACCATGTGCCAGGTGCTGTCAGCAATGTCCTGGAATGTCAGGAATGCTCCAGTGAACAGGTCAGACATATCTGCCCTGATGGAGCCCCAAGTTTAGCAGCCAAAAGCTGGAGGTGAAAAGAAAGTCAGTTCCCTTCACCAATGATGTATCAGTCATCAATTGCCATGCTAATACTGTGTAACAAACAACCCCCAAAAGCCAATGACATCCAACAATAACTATTTCTTTTTCACTTATGAGTCTGTGGGTCAGCTGGGCAGTTTTGTTCAGCTGAAAGGTTTGTTGTTCTATGTTGGGTTCTCACGTGTCTGGGGTTGCTCAACCCTGCTCCTCATGTCTCATCCTCCAGCGGACTAGCCTGGTCACCTTCTCACAATGAAAGCAGATCTTTAAGAGAAAAAGCAGAAATGCACAAGCATTTTTTATGTGTCTGCCCTGTCAAGTTTGCTAACATCCCATTGGCTGAAGCAGGTCACACGGCCTAGCTTTGCTTCAGAGTAGACACAAACTGGAAGTTATAGGGCAAAAAGCATGTATACAGGGAAGGAGCAGAAAATGGGCATTAATACAGCCAGTCCTTTGAGCTCAAAGTCTCAAGTGCAGAGCATTTAAGAGCGGCGGTCTCTGGTTGACGCTGGGAGGTGGAGGTCCTGTGGTTTGCATAGCCTCCGGAGGGGCTCTGGGGATGAGGGATGAGCCCCCCCCCCCCCCTTTTATCTGACAGCTAGGAAGCTGAGGCCCTGGGAGGGCACTCGCTCATGTCAGGAATAGAGGTGGGGCCACACTGACGGACTCCCAGCCCGGCACTCCGTCCCGAGCTCAGCGCAGGCGCCCTGAGCCTAGATGCAGCCTCACCTGAGCTCCCTCCGCCCCTTCTCCTCTCAGTCCTCCCAGAGCTGCAGCTCCGGCCGCCAGAACGCCCGCCTGCAGAGCGACTCCAGCAGCAGTACACAGGTGACCTTCCAGAGGCCCCGCCCCTCCCCGCCCACCCGCCTCCCTCCAGCGGGGGTACTGGGGTCCATCCCTCCAGCGGGGGTACTGGGGTCAATCCCTCCAGCGGGAGTACTGGGGCCAAGGCCCCTCACCTCCAGATCTCTTACGGTTTCTCTGTTTTAGCTTTTTACGCTTCCGTTAGAAATTGAAGTTCTGCGTACACAAGTGATACGTGAATCTCTTCTGCCCATTAAAATAGTATTGCAGAGAAAACCAAATTTGGTTTTGCCCATCCCTAACCCCTACATGCCCTCCCTAGAAATAACATTGCCATCTTCCCTGAATATACTTTATTTTCTAGTTTTGACTTTGGAGTTAGGAAAATGTTTTGCTTTGTTTTTTTAACATGACTGAAAGCAATTTAGTCGAAAAGAAATCTTTTTAAAACCAGAAGCACATGAAATTAACAGTAAATCAAGTGGGTGATATAACCATACCAAAGAAATATTTCACATGGCCTTGGGACATGATCTTATGCTGTCTGCATTGATGGGATATGGCCTAAAGACACAAATAACCACAATTAAATCTTGGATATATACCCTGGAGACTTTTCCATAATATTTCATATTCATTTAAGTGTTCTTGAAAATTGATTCATAATGGTTAACTACATGGATATATTTTAAGCCTGTTCCTTATGCAGTTAACTAATTAGTTAACTTTAAAAAGTTTTTTGTGCACATAATTTTACATGATGAAAGATTCTCTTCCTCAGAGCCAACTGCAATGCTCCCTTGTTTCTTTCTGGATTTTTCTATGCCTGTTCCTGCATACGGAGCACTTTTAAATTTTCTACAAATGGGACAATATGTCCCACCTTGTTCTGCCTCCATCTTTTTACTGACTGCGTAGCGTTCCCCTGCGTGCGTGTTCCATATTTGAACCAACCCCTGTGGATGGCTGTTCAGCTCGGTGCTGGAAGCAGCACCATGACAGACATCCTAGCCCATCTGTCTTTGTGCACCTTGTCTGCAGGTCTTTGAGTCTGTGGACGAGGTGGAGCAGGTGGAGGCAGAAGGTAGGCTGGAGGAGAAACCGACCAAGATCCCCAATGGGAACCTGGTGAATGGCACCTGCTCCCCAGACTCAGGCCATCCCTCCTCCCACAACTTCTCCTCGGGCCTCTCGGAGCACTCAGAACCCAGCCTGAGCACGGAAGACAGCGTCCTGGACCCCCAGCGCACCGCCCCCTTGGTGCTTCGACCCAGGGACAGCAGCATGGATGACGGGCAGAGCAGTGAGGCCACCACCTCCCGGGACGAGGCCACTCGTGAGGAGCTGGCCGTGCAGGACAGCCTGGAGAGCGACCTCCTGGCCAACGAGAGCATGGATGAGTTCATGTCCATCACTGGCAGCCTGGATGTGGCTCTGCCCGAAAAGGAGGGCCCCGCAATGGAAGGCTGGAGGGGCAGCGAGGTGGAAAAGCAGAGCCAGGTGGACAGTGAGGACAACCTCTCAGAGGAGCCTGAGATGGAGAGTCTCTTCCCCGCGCTCGCTTCTCTGGCCGTGACCACCTCGGCCAACAGCGAGGCATCCCCTGTGTCTTCCAGTGGCGTCACCTACTCTGTAAGTCACCAGGATTTTCCTCCTCTCTTTTTTCTGCAGCCGTGGGAGGGTAGCAAACCTCTATTATCCAGAATGACCTCTGTTTCATTGCCTTTACCCCATCATGGAGGGTTCACTGTAGAAATCTATTTGGAAGAGAAGGTAATTTAATACTTAAAGAACACAGGCTTTTGCAGACAAACAGTGCTGCGTTCAAATCCCAGCTTAGGCACATCTTGGTTTATGCTCAGGTCCAGTATCTCTTAAATATTTTACTTTCTTGCCGTAAAACCCAGAGGGAAGAATGTCAACTGAAAAGGTTTTCTGAGCCAAGGATCATGTACCTGTTTTATTCTGGGGGCTTCTCTGGCGGCTCAGACAGTAAAGAGTCTGCCTGCAATGCAGGAGACCCGGATTCGATCCCTGGGTCGGGAAGATCCCCTGGAGAAGGGAATGGCTACCCACTTCAGTATTCTTGCCTGGAGAATCCCACGGACAGAGGAGCCTGGTGGGCTACAGTCCATGGGGTCACAAAGAGTTGGACACAACTGAGCGACTTCACTTTCTTTTTTTAATTTAATTTTTTTGGCCTTGCAGCATGGCTTAGGGAATCTTAGTTCCCTGACCAGGGACCAAACTCATGCCCTCTGCAGTGGAAGCTAGGAGTTATAACCACTGGATCACCAGGGAAGTCCCCACATCCATTTTCTTTTAAAGAATTTGTTATTTCTATCACAAAGAGTCAAACGGTCAGACTAGGCTGGATCCAAAAACCTAAAGTTGTCTGGCCCAACTCTGCCTCTCCCCCGAGGCAGTAGTATTGACTTATTCTGCCCAAATTATCTGGTGTTTACCCTCATGTCTGCAAATAATATACTTGTATTGCTACTGCTTGATATGTTTTTATTTTTCTTCAGTTTTAGATATTGCCTGTTGACTTCCCATTATGGAGGAAGAGGATTCAGTCTTCTTCCTTCCCTACCCCTACACCCTCACCACACAAGTGAAACCACCCATTCCCCATCCATCCACTATAGTCACAATAATTTTAGTTAAATGATTGTTCTCTGTTTATATTATTATAGCGTTATAATTCATATTAAATTGCATGTTTTCCTGTAAAAAATTTTGTTTTTCCTAGAAGTGTTTTTTAAATTTGTTTGTTACATGTATATTGTAGCATATACACACACACACACACACACAAATATATATATATATATATCTTGATCTTCATTCAGTTCAGTTCAGTTGCTCAGTCATGTCCAACTCTTTGTGACCCCATGAACCGCAGCATGCCAGGCCTCCCTGTCCATCACCAGCTCCTGGAGTCCACACAAACCCATGTCCATCGAGTTGGTGATGCCATTCAACCATCTCATCCTCTGTCGTCCCCTTCTCCTCCTGCACTCAATCTTTCCCAGCATCAGGGTCTTTTCAAAGGAGTAAACTCTCCACATCAGGTGGCCAAAGTATTGGAGTTTCAGATTCAACATCAGTCCTTTCAAAGAACACCCAGGACTGATCTCCTTTAGGATGGACTGGTTGGATTTCCTTGCAGTCCAACGGACTCTCAAGAGTCTTCTCCAACACCACAGTTCAAAAGCATCAATTCTTCGGCCCTCAGCTTTCTTTATAGTCCAACTCTCACATCCATACATGACCACTGGAAAAACCACAGCCTTGACTAGATGGACCCTTGTTGGCAAAGTAAGGTCTCTGCTTTATAATATGCTGTCTAAGTTGGTCATAACTTTCCTTCCAAGGAGTAAGCGTCTTTTAATTTCATGGCTGCAATCGCCATCTGCAGTGATTTTGGAGCCCAGAAAAATAAAGTCAGCCACTGTTTCCACTGTTTCCCCATCTATTTGCCATGAAGTGATGGGACTGGAGGCCATGATCTTAGTTATCTTGATCTTACTTTCTTCTTATATAAAATGAGGATAATAATCCCATATACCTCATAGGATTGTGAGAAAAAAAATAGAAAATGTTCATAAGACAAAATGAAAGAGGGCTTCTCAGGAAACAGCATCAACAAAAATTAGAGTCAGACATCTGATTGGTCCAGATAGAGGAAGTTTTCTCAGTGATGACAGCAGAGGGCTAGGAAGAGGAGGAGAGAGATTCTGTGGAAGAGTGCCCCTCTGAGGAGCTGGGGTGTGACTCTTCTTGCCCTCCCCTGTGAGGAGCTGGGGTGTGACTGTTTTTTCCCTGCCCTGTGAGGAGCTGGGGTGTGACTCTTCTTGCCCTGCCCTGTGAGGAGCTGGGGTGTGACTGTTCTTGCCCTCCCCTGTGAGGAGCTGGGGTGTGACTGTTCTTGCCCTCCCCTGTGAGGAGCTGGGGTGTGACTGTTCTTGCCCTGCCCTGTGAGGAGCTGGGGTGTGACTGTTCTTGCCCTGCCCTATGAGGAGCTGGGGTGTGACTGTTCTTGCCCTCCCCTGTGAGGAGCTGGGGTGTGACTGTTCTTGCCCTCCCCTGTGAGGAGCTGGGGTGTGACTGTTCTTTCTCTCCCCTGTGAGGTGTTAACAGTTCTTTCTCTCCCCTGTGAGGAGCTGGGGTGTGACTGTTCTTGCCCTCCCCTGTGAGGAGCTGGGGTGTGACTGTTCTTGCCCTCCCCTGTGAGGAGCTGGGGTGTGACTGTTCTTGCCCTCCCCTGTGAGGAGCTGGGGTGTGACTGTTCTTTCCCTGCCCTGTGAGAAGCTGAGGGGTGACTGTTCTTGCCCTCCCCTCCTGGGGGCCCGCAGCCTGAGCTCCTGGACCTGTACACGGTGAACCTGCACCGCATCGAGAAGGACGTGCAGAGGTGTGACCGCAACTACTGGTACTTCACGCCCGCCAACCTGGAGAAGCTGCGGAACATCATGTGCAGGTGGCCGGGGGCCGGGGGCGGGGCCGTCGGGGGCGGGGGGTGGGACGGGGCTGTCGGGGCGGGGGGTGGGGCGGGGCCGTCGGGGGCGGGGGGGTGGGGCGGGGCCGTCGGGGGCGGGGGGGTGGGGCGGGGCTGTCGGGGCGGGGGCGGAGCTGTCGGGAGCAGGGGGCTGGGTTGTCGGGGCGGGGGTGGGGCGGGGCTGTCGGGGCCGGGGGCGGGGCTGTCGGGGCCGGGGGCGGGGCTGTCGGGGCGGGGGCGGAGCTGTCGGGGGTGGGGAATGGATGGCGCAGTTACAAGCAACGGGGAGTACACGATGGAGTGAGGCCCCCTGGATTCAAATCCTTTCTCTACTGTTCATTGTGAGGTGTGTGACTTGGTGCGTGTCACTTAATTCTCTGTGCTTTACTCTCTTTATTTGTGAACTGGGATAATGATAGATGTTCCATATGATTAATTTGAGAATTCAGTGATAAATACATATGTAGTGGACAGAGCATACAGTAAATGCTCAGTAAACAGTAGTTACGATTAGTAAGAGGCAGAGGAGAATTCCAGGCAGAGGGGACGGCTCAAGCAGAAACACAGAGGCAAGAGCGTGCGCTTTGTTTGTACAGAGGTAAATATCCCAGTGCAGCCTGCAGGGAAGAAGCCCTGGGAAGTGATGTGTGAGACTGCGAGGGGGGTTGGGAGGAAGCAACAGACGCCCCTGCCATGCAGTGAAGAGCCTGTAAAGGCTCCTGAGCTCTGAGAAGGTCATCCTGGTGACTGTGCATAGGCTGCTTGAGGAGAATGAGACTGGGGGTGGAAATCCAGGCAGGAGGTTGGGGGAGTTGGTCCAGGTGAGAGGTGGGGGACCGAAGCAGGGTGAGAGGAAAGGAGGAGTGGGTTGGAGAGGCAGACTGTGGGTGCCATCACTGGCCGTCCTGTGTGTCTTACAGCTACATCTGGCAGCACATTGAGATCGGCTACGTCCAGGGCATGTGTGACCTCCTGGCCCCGCTGCTGGTCATCCTGGATGATGGTGAGTGTACCCTCCCTGCCCCCGGACTGGGGATGCAGTTTACTTCCCACGGCAGAGAAGAAAGGTTAACCTTACTGTGCGACTCCACAGACTGGGTTGGTGCAGCTGTTCAGAAGACCTGTTTAGTGAACACATCAAGGTCTTAGTGAAATAAAAAGTTCTTTTGTTCTACATTGACCAACACTTATTTCCAGGTGCCTGACCCCCATCCAAGCTTTTGCTAGCCACTGGTTATATAAACATGAATGAAAACAAAGGAAAACTCAGACCGAGATGGCTTCGCTGGTGAATGCTACCTAACACTTAACAAAGAATGAATACCAATACTTCATAAACCCTTCTAAAACATAGAAGAGGAGGGAATGCTTCTCAACTCACTCTATGGTGCAGGTCCTTATATGAGGACCTATTGGTACCCGGATAGCAATACCAGATAAAGACATCACAAGAAAACTACAGACCAATATCCTTTATGAAATCAAGGTAAAAATCCTCAACAAAACACTCGTGAACTGAATCCATCAAGATATAAAAAGGATTATATGTCATTATCAAATGGGATCTATCCCAGGAATACAAGGCTGACTCAATATATGAAATTCAATCAGTGCAATTCACTACATTCACAGAATAAAAGATGGAGGTCACATGATCATGTCATCAGACAAAATTCAACAGCCTTTCGTGAAAAAATATTCAGCAAATTCAGAACAAAAGAGAACTTAATCAATGTGATAAAAGACATCTCTGAAAAACCCACAACTAATAGTCAGTGATGAAATTCTGAATACTTCTCACCTAAGGTCAAGAGTATGACAAAGATGTCCACTTCTGCCACAAAAGGCCCTATCCTGGACAATTACTGAAGAAAAAGGAATAAAGACATCTAGGTTGGAAAGGAAATAAAACCATCTGTATTTGCAGATGGTATGATTTTGCATACAGAAAATCCTAATGAGTCAAAAAAATATTAGAACTAATAAACAAGTTCAGCAAGGTTGCAGGATATAGAACTTATACAGTTCTATATTATATTTAGATATATTCAATTATATTTCTGTGCTATTGTAATAAACAATCTAAAAATGAGAATAGAAAAGCAATTCCATTTGCAGTAGCCTCTAGAAGAGTAAAATATTTACGAATAAATTTAACAGAAGTGCAAGATTTGTACACCAAAAACTTTAAAATGTTGCTGAATATAGTGAGCCAGAAACACAAAAACTGACTCCTTTTTCTTCCAGTGAGCATGTGATTCTTACTTGATTTGAGGTTGCAAATAGACAAACAGATCTCCCCAAAAGGGAACCAAGAAAAAAAAAAGACCATGAAATTGGATTCTTTGTTATTTCTCACCCAACAGAGAACAAACTTTCATTATACACCCAACAGAACCCACTAGATAGTTAACCATAAGAGCAAATCTCCAATCATTGCTATCACCAATTCAGATTAATTTGTTGAAGGTATATAAACCAGAAATAAAAACAAATGCATAATATCAATAGAAAAAAAGAACTAAAGGGTTAGAAACGTTAAAACTCTGTTGCCACCCACAATTCACTTCAGAAACCAAGAAAAGATGCAGCAAATGGACTTAATTTGTCTCCATTGGATTAATCCCCTTAAACAGCTCAGTGGATGACCTTCAGAACTGATAAAATGTAATTTTCAAAAGGTTACATGACTCTCACAATACAAATAAAATGAACAAAGATTTTATTCAGTGTATTAATGAGGAAACCAGTCAGGTATGAAAACTGGCTTCAGGAACATTTGAGAAGCTGGGCATGTTAGCACCATCAAGGTAAGGGTGCTTCCAGAAAGGGCAAATCTGTAGAGACAGAAAATAGACTCATGGTTGACAGGGACTGTGAGGAGAGGGAAATAGGTGATGACTGCCAATATGTAGTGTCTTTTGGGGGTGATGATAATGTTCTAAAATTAGATAGAGATGATGGTTCTCAACTCTGAATATACTAAAACCACTGAATTATATTGGGTTGACCAAGAAGTTTGCCCGGATTTTTCTGTAACATCATACAGAACATTGTACAGAAAAACCCAAGCAAACTTTTTGACCAACTCAGTATATTTAAAAGAGTGAATTTTATGGTGTTCAAGCCTCAATAAAGTTGTTTAAAAATGAGAAGTATAAGTCGCAACTCTTAGAGCTGAGCATAGTGACTTCTTTCCAGAAAGTTCACTAAAGAAGAGGGTGGGAGGTGAAAGAGAAGCTATGCAGTGGAGAAACCGGAAAACACTGCCCCTGTCAGGTGGCCATGGTCATCCTCTGTCCTCAGTCACATCAGTACTGTACACCCTTGATATGATGTGAGTCAAGTGGCACCTCACCTACATGGTCTTTCTCAGAATAACCCATAACCCCAGTCTATCTTCAGAAAAACATCAGACAAATTCCAATAGAGAGGCATCCCATAAAACACCTGGCATGCACTCTTCATAACCATCAGGGTCACCAACAACAAGGAAGGTCTGAGTCACAGCTAGGGCCAAGAGGAGCCTAAAGAGAGATGACAGTCCTTTAGTCCATCCTAAAGGAGATCAGTCCTGGGTGTACATTGGTAGGACTGATTTTGAAGCTGAAACTCCAATACTTTGGCCACGTGATGCAAAGAGCTGACTCATTGGAAAAGACCCTGATGCTGGGAAAAATTGAGTGCAGGCGGAGAAGGGGACAACAGGGATGAGATGGTTGGGTGGCATCACCGACTCGATGGACATGGGTTTGGGTGAACTCTGGGAGTTGGTGATGGACAGGGAGGCCTGGCGTGCTGTGGTTCATGGGGTCGCAAAGAGTTGGACAGACTGAGTGACTGAACAGAACTGAACTGAAGTAGGTCATTAATTGTAACAAATGTACAAATTAATGGGAGATGTTAGTAATGGGAGGAACTAGGTGTGAGGTATATGGAAACTCTACACTCTTCTCAATTTTTCTGTAAATCTAAACTGTTCTGAAAAATAAAGAAAATGAACAAGATTCTATGGTGACTTGGGTAACCTTCTTATAACTTTCTCTAAAGCTACTTGGCGTTAAGAGAAAATAGGTACTGTTTTCAAATTATTCTTTAAACACTGGGTTGAACAGTATGAAACGGATTTTTTTTTTTTTTGGCTGTGCCATGCAACTTGCAGGATCTTAGCAGCTCCCCAACCAGGGATTGAACCCATGCCCTCATCAGTGCAAGTGTGGAGTCCTAACCACTGGACCAGGGATTGAACCCATGCCCTCAGCAGTGAAAGTGTGGTATCCTAACCACTGAACCACCAGGGAATTCCCAACATATATCTTTTAAATTCCATAAATACTCAGAGCCTTTTTTTCCCTTAGTATATATAGTCACTCTCTAAGTAGCATTTCCCAAAGTTGCTTGACCTTTGCTTTGCATAACACCTGCAAACACCCTTCCAGTATTGACACTTGTTATTTTAATTCAGTGGTTCTCAGACAGGAGAGTTTCATGAGCCCCACAGAATTTTTTTCAAGACATTTGGGACCAAATATTGTCAACTTTTTATTAGAGCAAATAGGGATCTTTAAAACACAACGTTTGCTGTCACTGTTGTTTCCTAAAAGAAAGGATGCTCTATTTCCACACCTCTCAGGGGGGAAGTGCATAATGAAAGATTGGAGAGCATCCCTTGAAATGATGTGCATGGGTATACTCCATGTCCTTACGTTTCTTATTTGGCTGTGGACCTAATAGACCCTCGGACCATCACTCTGGGACCTTGGGCAGTGGCAGAGTTGACTCTTCTCCTGTACTCTTTCCCCAGAGGCCCTTGCCTTCAGCTGCTTCACTGAGCTCATGAAGAGGATGAACCAGAACTTCCCCCACGGGGGCGCCATGGACACACACTTTGCCAACATGAGGTCGCTAATCCAGGTATGACCTTGTGCTTCTCAGTAATATAACTTATTCCAGCTCAAACCAATGGACCACAAACCAACTTAATAGCCACACCTAGTTTAAATTAACTCAGTAACTCAGTCCTACTTCACTCAGCCCAGTTAAGTTAACCTGAAAAACTCAATTCAAATTAACCTTCACTCAACAGCTCAAGTCGACTCCACTGGATTCATTCTTACTGACCTTTTACTTGGCCCAGGCACTGTGGCTACAATGATGAACAAGACATGGTCCTCACCCTTAACAGGACATTTGATTGTGTTGGTCCTTTTCTGCAGAGAAAGGTGGTGGCGGTGGTGGTTTTGTCGCTAAGTTGTGTCCAACTCTTTGCGACCCCATGGACTGCAGCCCACCAGGCTCCTCTGTCCATGGGATTCCCAGGCAAGAACACTGGAGTGGGTTGCCATTTCCTCCTCCGGACTGCAAAGAAATATTTGAGTATATTTCTCTCTCTCCCTTTCTGTCTCACACACACACACACACACACACAGAGCTTTATTGAGATAAATTCATATATTGTAAAATTTGCCTTTTTGAAATGTTTGATTCATTGGTTCTTAGAATAGTCACAGGTGTGAAATCATCATCACTATCTAATTTCAGAACACTCACATCACCTTGAGAAAGAATCTCTATCCCCTGAGATTCCCTGGTGGCTCAGTGGTAGAGAATCCACCTACCAACACGGGAGATGCAGGTTTGATCCCTGGGTCGGGAAGATCCCCTGCAGAAGGAAATCAGCTGGTAAAGAATCTGCCTGCAGTGCGGGAGACCTGGGTTCCATCCCTGGGTTGAAATGACCCCTGGAGAAAGGAACGGCTACCCACTCCAGTATTCTTGCCGGGAGAATCCCATGAACTGTATAGTCCATGGGGTCGCAAAGAGTCGGACACGACTGAGCGACTTTCACTTTCCAGTATCCTTGCCTGGGAAGTCCCATAGACTGAGAAGCCTGGCGGGCTGCAGTCCATCGTGTCACCAAAGAGTTGGACGTGGCTTAGCAACTAACCAACAGCAAACACCACCACCATTAACAGCAATCCCTCTCCACTGCTCCTGGCAGCCACTAGTCTACTTTCTGTCTCTGTATAGATTTACCTGTTCTGGACATTTCACGTAAATGGAGTCACACAATATGTGGCTTTTTGTGTCTGGCTTTTTTCATGTAGCATAATGTTTACAAGGTCCGTCCATGTTGCAGCATGTATCGATATGTCATTCCTTCTATTGCTGAATATTCCATTGCATATATAGACCACATTTTGTATACCCATTCATCCTATGATGGATACTTGGGTTGTTTACACTTTTTGGCTATTATGAATAATGCCGTGGTGTACATTCATGTGTAAGTTTCTATATGTTCGTAGGTTTTCATTTTTGTTGGGGATATACCTACAAGTAAAACTACAGCTGTACCATTCTATTCCCACCAGCAACACACGAGGGTTCCATTTTCTCTACATCCTCCCAGCCCTTTGTTGTCTGTCATTTTTATTATAGCCACCCTAGTGGATATGAAATAGTAGCTCATTATGATTTTGACTTGCATTTTCCTAATTACTAATGATGGTAAGCATGGTTCCTGTGCATATTGGTTATTTGCATATCTTCTTTAGCGAAAGACTGGGTTAGGTTGCGTCAGATTGATTTCCACTTCAAATTCTTTAGCCATTTTTAAGCTCCACCCGGTTGTTAAGGGCTGTGTAGTGTCTGGTATGGGGATGTAGCATCATTTGTTTGACTGTCCCCTCTGGCCCAGCCTTTGCCGAGGAGGCTGATGCCTTTCTTTCCTTCCTCTGACAGATCCTGGACTCAGAGCTCTTCGAGTTGATGCATCAGAATGGGGACTACACTCATTTCTACTTCTGCTACCGCTGGTTCCTGCTGGATTTCAAGCGAGGTACACACCTCCAACTGGGACCTTGTTCCCAGACTCTTTGCAGCAGAGTCCCAGGGGGAAAAGATACCACAGCAGTGAGGCTGGGACATGTTGGGACAAAGCCACTGGACTAGAGTAACACCTACTTGTTGAGTTCTGACTACAGTTTTCCTACCGTATCTTGCAGAGACACTGTGTAGTAGGTGTTCTCACAATCCCCATTTTACAGATGAGGAGACTAAGGCTGAGAAGAACTAAATTCAGACCTAGCAATAACAGAGCCAGGATCTGAGCCCCCGTCTGTCTACCCAAGCCAATTTCCCTACCATTCTGTTAAGTGGCTTATCAGAGGCCAAGAACTCTGAAGCCCATGGAGTCTCTTTCCCACGTGACTGAGGAATGATGTCTGACACAGTGCATTGCTATCTTGCCAATTTGGGATGATGCTGATAATAATATCTAGCTTGTATGCATACGTGTGTGCTCAATTGCTCAGTCGTGTCCAACTCTTTGCGACCCCATGGACTGTAGCCTGCCAGGCTCCTCTGTCCATGGGATTCACCCAGCAAGAATACTGGAGTGGGTTACCATTTCCTCCTCTAGGGGATCTTCCTGACCCAGGGATCCAACCCGGGTCTCCTGAGTCTCCTGCATTGGCAGGCTGATTCTTTATCACTGAGCCACCTGGGAATCCCCTAACCTGTATAAAGGTGTTTATTAAGGGCCAGGCACTGTGCTGAGCCATTTCTATGTATTATTTCTTCAGCCCTTTATTTTTAAAAAATACTTATTTATGTATCTGTTTATATGACTGTGTTGTCTTAGTTGTGACACATGGGATCTTTTGTTGCCGCACACAGGCTCTTCATTGCAGTGCATGGGATTGTGGGATCTTAGTTCCCCAAGCAGGGATTGAACCTGAATCCCCTGCATCGCAAAGCAGATTCCTAACCACTGAACCATCAGAGAAGTCTCTTCAGTCCTTTATTACTATTGGTATCACATCATGTGAAGTTCCCTGGTGACTCAGTGGTAAAGAATCTGCCTACCAATGCTGGAGACTCGGGTTTGATTCCTGGGTCAAGAAGATTCCCCTGGAGAAAGAGATGGCAACCTCCTCCACCAACATCACCACACTAACGGATGCAGAAAAGAAAGGGCTCATGGAGGGGAAGTAATTATCCCAAGGTCACCTTGCTCATAAGTGATGGAGCCAGGATTCAGACTGACTTTTGTTGGACACAGGAAGCCTTACTCTCCCTCCTTACTCTGCTGTCTCTCTTTACTAGACCCAGAAGCAGCAGCCGACTCTGCCTGGGTGCACGGGGAAGGGGAGGTACCCCATGGGTGCTAGAGGAGCGGGAGGGTGCAGGCAGAGAGCAGGACCCTGGCCCAGGGTCAGGGCAGGGGCAGGTCAAGGGAAACCAAAGCTGCCCCTGCCCAGTTCCTCCACTCACAGGATGTCGGAGCTGGAAACATGCGGCCACCTCGTGTGCCCATCCTCTTCCCCAGAAAGGGGAAGCTGAGGCTGCTGTCAGATGGCAGCGGCCAGGTCTCCTGCGCTGGCCTGAGCTCTGTCTGCCGCCCCAGGACAGAAGCTCAGAGCACAGCCGGCCTGGGATCCTCCTCGAGGGCGGGCAGCACTGTGAGCTCCGTGGGGGACTCTCCCCGTGCGTGTGTGTGTGTTGGTGTCTTGGCAGAACTCATCTATGATGACGTCTTCTCTGTCTGGGAGACCATCTGGGCAGCCAAACACGTCTCGTCCGCCCACTACGTCCTGTTCATCGCACTGGCGCTGGTGGAGGTCTACCGTGACATCATCTTGGAGAACAACATGGATTTCACAGACATCATCAAATTTTTTAACGGTACCCACGTGATCAGGGTCTCATCCGAAGGGGGCAGGCTTCTGGAGGGCCCCTTCCTGGGTCCTGGAGAGGGATGGATGGAGAGTCCCTGAGATTGATTCAAGATGAAGAGGACGGAGGAGGCTTCTGACCACCTCCTGTGGCTATTTCCCAGTGGATGAGTTGACGTCTCGTAATCCTGAGTGATCCACGTGTGTTTCTCTCAGGGATCTGGCCAAAGGGGCCTGGGTGTTGAAATCGGGCTCAGGGGCCAAACTTGGCTCTGCTGGGAATGAGCTGTGCCATAGACACGTCACTTCCCCTCTCTCTAAACATCTGCTTCCTCACCTGGGAACAGGAGGGAAGGTGTCTGCTTCAGAGGGTTGACGTGTGGAGGGAAAGCAGATACAGGAAGGTGGCATGAAAAAGGCACAGTCTTGCCACCCAGGAGCTGTGTGACCTTGGGCAAGTGACTTCACATCTCTGGGCTTCAGATTCCTTGGGAATAAAATGGTACTGACACCTCCATCACAGAGGTGTCAGGAGGATTAAATGAGACCACAGGGATGTCAGGCCCATCAGTCACATGGTACTTGGCTCACAGCTGTTGCTTTGAATAGAAGCTGTTGCTATTATCACTATTAAAACATTTTCTTAAACTAAAGAAGGTTTTGGATAAAGCAAAAAATGAATAAAGCCACCAGTGATGACCTTACACTGGAAACATTATTAGTTATTGTTATTAATATATTTTATATTTAAATAATATATAACAATAATAAATAGTAATAATTAACATTATTAGAAAAAAATTTCAAAGATAGTACAGAGAGTTTCCTATACCTTTTAACGCCTCAGCCCCTAATGTTAATATGTTACCTGATCCTCGAACATGTGTCACAACAAAGAAATTAACACTGATATAGTACTATCAACTAAACTACGGACTTACTTGATTTCACTTGGTTTTTAACTAACGTCCTTTTTGTGCTCTAGGATCCAATCCAGAAAACCATGTTGCACTTAATAGGTTCATTTAAAAATATTCATTTTTTTATCCAGTCTTTTCCAAAACTATGTATATGGTGGCTAAGCCATAGAGAATCCACCTGCCAATGCAGGAGATACCCAGAGACAATCCCTGGGTTGGGAAGACCCCCTCGAGAAGGAAATGGCAACCCACTCCAGTGTTTTTGCCTCAGAAATCCCATGGACAGAGAAGCCTGGTGGGCTACAGTCCGTGGGGTCGCAAAGAGTCGGACGTGACTTAGCGACTAAACAACAACAATCACAGAATCCAGTTGTATCTAGGCTTTTTTCCACTGATGTTTTTAAAACCATTTTCCATATAATGATTTTTTGAGAAAACAGAATATACCTCAAGTACTTGAGGTATATGTCCCCAAAGTGATGTTCATCACTTACTGAACCATCCTTTCTGGTTTAACATCTATGTTGGTTTTGGTTTGAGGTTGTAATTGAGAACTCAAAGCAATTCATATCTTAGCGTGGAGGTTCTCAAACTTTTCTTAGTTCATAGCACCTCTAGTGTCTCTGTGAAATTTTCGTGGCATCCCAGAACATCTAGTAACTATTGAATAATTAAGTCCAAGCCACCTAATAAGTATATCTATCCTAACAACTTAGTAGCCATTTGAAAAAATAGCACATGTTAAATCAAAAGAAAATAATATATTTTATATTTAAATAAGTAGTTTCTAATGGGTGTGCTCACCTGTTGGACTTTGCCCAACTTCTCAGATCTTGGAATCAGTTTGAACTCACCACCTTCACTACACTTTCCATAGTGATTTTCACATGATACTTGCTTTTATCATGGCAACTGCTTGCTGATAACTTAGTTTTTTTGCAAAGCTATAAAGCCATTGATAGGAACACAAATTGCAAACTCACTCACATTAGCAGTTTATGTGGTGTTCAACAGATGTGGAGGATCGCACCCAATTTGGAAACATGGTCTTAGTGTCTTTCTCTTCTACCAAATGATTTCTTTATGAAAAGTGTCTAAATTTAGGATTATTATTTTTCAAAGAGCTGATCATTGTGTGTTATTCTTGACAAAATGGCTATTTATGCTTTCTCCCCTCCACCCTCCCATCTCCTTCTGTTGCTTCCTTTCCTCTCTACTTTTAAGCGTCCACCTTGTGCCCAACATTGCTTTCTTAAAAGGGGCCCAGTCATTGTGTCTGTAGGAGGATGGTGAGAAAACCTAACATTTTTTAAACAGACACACATTTTTTTAAACAAACACACTTTATCCTGTTTGATCTCACAGTAACCTTGTGAAGTAGGTACTGTCACGGTTCCCATTTCACAGATGAGGAAACTGAGGTCTGGAGTCACAGGCCGTCCCCAAAGTATGTGCTTGCAGAGCCACTCTGGGGGTGATGCCAGTTGATGATGGGGATGGGGGCACTCCAGAGACCTCTCAGAGTCTCTGCTGGAAGTGTGGCCCAAGGACAGACAAAGCCAAGGCTCATGTGATTCTGCCTTCCGCTCTTTCAGAGATGGCCGAGCGACACAACACCAGACAGGTCCTGAAGCTGGCCCGGGACCTCGTGTACAAGGTGCAGACCCTGATTGAGAACAAGTGAGGGCCATGTCAGCGCCCGCCCGCCCGCCTGTCCTGCCTGCTTCTCCTCCCAGCCGCCCGGGGAGCGAGGTCCTGACGTCTGTTCCCGAGCATGGACTTCTGTGCAAAGAGAAAACACCCCAGCTTTGGCCGCTGGGCAGGTGGGGTGGAGGGGTCGCCCCTTCAGTTCAGCCTTATGTTTTCCTGTTTGACCAAAGATCGCCCAAGCCTGGGATTTCTCCCTTGCGGGAGTTGGGGGTTGTTGGTGGGCAGAAGGACCATCTTCGTTCGTGGTCTCCAGAATGGTCTTCTCCCCTTTCCCTCCCATCCCTCCAAGCTGTCTTGTCGGATGAGACTTGGGTTTGGGAACTTTTCAGAAACGGGTATAGGAGAGGTCTGTGGGGCTGCCTCTGAGCTCTGAAGGGGCCTTTGGAGATGTTCCAGAACGTGGCTGGGAGCAGAGCATTGCTGACACGGAATTCTTCTATGAAGGACGCCTCCCTGTGCACTGTCGGGGCTTGAGCAGCATCTCTAGCCTGTCCCTGCTAGATGCCAGTAGCTCCCTCCGTCCCCCGCCACCGCCCGCCCCTCCCGGGGCCTTATGACATCCAGAACTTCTCCGGACATTGCCAGGTAGCCCCCGGTTTGAGAACCGCTGACTTGCAGGAGGGACTGCAAGTGTTTCTCCCTCCCCACTTTCTTTGTACCTGAGCCAACTGTGTCCTGAGACTCCCTCCCATTTAGAAAAGGCACATGGGGTCCTCTGCACATGTCTCCTGGGGTCAGGGATTTCAGTTGTGTTTTCTCGTCTTTTCCTCCTCCCCCTGGCCTCAGGAGAGACTTTTTTCTTCTTTCAACAAAAGGCTGTGAGAAGGGTCTGTAAGCTTGAGACAGGCCTCTTCATGGTCCTGCTCAGAGCCCCTGCTCCGGGCAGGGCAGAGTCCACATCCCCTTCCTCTCATCCTAGGGAGGACCTCGCCTCTCCTTCCTACATTGGGTCCGGAGTTCCAGAAGCTTGGAAGGTGTGTGTTGGTGCAAGCCACTTGTTCAAGGAGGCTGGCATTTCCTTAAGTGCCCTTGCTTACTCAGGACAAAGGGAAGAGAGGAGGACAGAGGTTGGCCAGGGTAGGGTGTGGCAGGTGTTCTCCTTGGGGAAAAAAAAAAAAATCAGCTGATGAACTGGCATCCAGGTCACAGCCCAGCCTGGAAATGGTCCCCTCCATGTCTTCACACAAAGGGTCACCAGCCCCCCAAAGAGACCCTAGGCGAGCTAGTTTACCCTGCCTACATGTCCTCCCAGGAGAGCAGTCGCGCCAGCCCTTCTCTGCTTTGGAGAATGCACCAGCATCAGGAAAAACAGAGAGAGTCCAAGAATGATGCTCTTCCCAAGAATGGCAGGTAGGATTTTGGAGAGGAGAGGAGACTCACCAAGCACATTGAAACCTTGACAGAGGGAGCGCATCAGTTCTCTGGTCCTGAGGAAAGCAGGAGGGGAGCAGTCTCTGCCTGGCCTGCTTGTGAAGGCGCTTCCCTTGCACCCAGCACTTTCGGCTGCATCTGAACTTCTGCCCAAGTGGGGTGTCCTGGGTGGGATGGATGAGAGATGGACCTCGCTTCCGAAGAACACTCTGTGCAAGTTTCATCTCCTTGCCTTGGCCCTCTGCCTTCCCGAGACGGGTGATCATGTATGAAATTTCCCTCTAGATAAGAGTTTTATTTTGCCATTCAACTCTTCACTACAGAGGATGTTATTTTAGCAAGACTTAGGTCCTAGACCTTCCAATTCTTATTTATTTTTTGACAGACTGGTCTGAAAGTACAGCACAAGATCTCTTCTCTGCCTTCTCTCGTGGTGTTCCAGAGAGCGTCGTGGTTGTGATTTGAAACAGTGCTTATTTATTTGGCTTTCTGTGTTTATTTGGGTCTCTGTACATTGTGTGTGCGTCCTCGTGTCCCCGAATCAAATGCGTGGGAGTCGTTTTATCTATGGAGTGCTCTCTTTTTCTCAGTGTTGCCAACATATCTGGTTACTGTTTACTGAAGAGTCGTGTCTATATAGAGAGAAAATATATATAAACAGAATTGTGTGAACCTGGGTTATTTCTTGCTTCTGTGTTTGTGGATTTTCTCTTTGATTTGAAAGAAAGAAATGTTTGCTTCTGAAGAGTGTGTCCTCATACCCCAGTCCTCCCAGCCCACCCCCGTTGACCCAGACCCAGAGAGGGACAGATTCTCATGCTCGCTGCCTGATCGGTCCCCAGAAAGTGCAAGGCTGGTGAAACTGGTCTCATCCTTTGTATCAGTTAGTTGTTCCCATAAGCAATGCTGTGTAACAAACCACCCCAAATCTTAGTGGCTTCAGACAGCCATTTATTTAGCTTGTGATGATTCTTTTTTAATATTTATTTATTTATTCATGTCTTTGGCTGTGCCGGGTCTTAGTTGCAGCACATGGGATCTTCAGTTGTGGTGCCGGATCTTTTTTTAGTTGCGGCACGGGGAACTCTTAGTTGCAGCATGTGGGGTCTGGTTCCCCAACTAGGGATTGAACCTGAGCCCTCTGCATAGGGAGCTCAAAATCTTAGCCACTGGACCACTAGGGAAGTCCCTCCATGCACTATTGACTTATGGTAATGGATGATATACTTTAGGGGAAAAAAATTCTAAGAAAATATTTTGCTTTAATAAAAGCTTTCCTAAGCACGGCATTTACAGCTTGCATAGATGTGAGAAGATGAGTCTTGGGCCACTAGGCACGTGTCCTTGACTCACCTCGGGGTGGGACAAGGGGTCTTCATTGCCATGTGCATGGCACACACAGGTGTCACTCTGAGGTCCCGCTCCCACCCTTTTCTTCTTCCTCCTCTGCCTCCTCCATCTTTTCCTCCACGTCTTTATCTTCTCCTTCCCCCACACCTCCGGTTCCTCTCCTCTCCTTCTGCCTGCTTTCCTTGTAGCCTCGAGCATGTGGATACTGTCTATCACCATGCCTTCACCTGAATGATGCTGTCCCATCTAGGACAACATGCGGGGTTTAGCCCCTCTGGCTACTCCACCGTTTCCCTTCTAAACCACACTCCCTTTTCTTTTCACCTCAAGCTTTCCATTTGGCATCTGGGAGAGTCCATGGGGACAGTTAGAAGCACTTACGCAAAGAGTTGAGGAGGTCCCGACCATCCCATTTCGGAAGGGCCGGTGCCCATGTGTGCCATCCTGTTTCATCTTCCTCCTCCTCTCCCAGGCCTGAGGTTCCAGCAGCCTGACAGGGAAGGGAAGTGAGGGTATAGCTAAGGGCAGTGGGAGGAACTAGTTTAGATCTCTTCTCTTTTTTCAAACAGATACTCAAGTTTGAGAGACAGATCCATCAATCAATGAGTCTTCTCCCCAAGTTTTATGACAGCATCTCCCAAACTCAAGTCACCTGCCATCCCCCTTTATGATCTGGACCATATCTATGTGCTATTATATCTTTACTAGTTTTCTTTAAATCAACTCACCTTAAAAAAAAATTATTTATTTGGCCGTGCCGGGTCTTAGTTGCGGCACGTGGGATCTTTAGTTGCGGCATGTAGGATCTAGTTCCCAGGGATCGAACCTGGATTCCTTGCACTGGGAGCATGGAGTCCTAGCCACTGGACCACCAGGGAGATCCCATAAATCAACTCACTTTTTAAACTTCAAGCTAAGAGCAAGCCAGGATCATTTGCATAAACAGGAGATGGTTGTAAAAATGAATACTACTATTTTACCAAAGTACTGTTTCCCACTGAAGGCTTTCCTGAAGCCTACTCGCTCGCTATTAAGAAGAGATGTAATAAGGGTCTGAGAAGTTAAAGACATACTAGCACCAGACGAGCATTTCTTCTTGGAGGACTTCAAGGAGGATTGACGTGGGAATGACCTTCTCACTGCACCAACTAAAATTACATTCTGTATCTTTGTCCACATGTTTGTGGAGTGATGACTTAGGATCCCAAGTCTGCCGGCTCCTGGCTATGTGATTTTGGGCAAGTGACTTTCCCTCTCTGAGCCTTGGTTTTCATTTCTGCAAACCGGAGGTAGTAATGGGTGTGGATTCCCTGGTGGCTCAGATGATAAAGAATCCGTCTGCCATGCAGGAGACCCGGGTTTGATCCCTGGGTTGGGATGGTCCCCTGGAGAAGGGAACAACTACCCCCTTTAGTATTCTTGCCCGGAAAATTCCAAGGACAGAGGAGCCTGGTGAGCTATAGTCTGTGGGGTTGCACAGAATTGGACACGACTGGGAGACTAACACTTGGACTTTTTTGGCTGTGGATTCAGTCCTGGCCCTCCCCTTTCACTGGGACCCTCTGGCCCTAGCATTGCTGGGAACGGTTTCCTGGTTGAGACCTCAGTTTCCCTGAGTTCCCATCATCTCTTGCTCGGGTTCTCAGGTGAGACTTTGAAACCTGAGAGGATACAGCTCCTGGAGAACTGGGGAAGGGATGAACTCTGCACCCTCTTAGGCTGTGACAGGGCCCCTGGAGGCGGGCCATCAGTGAGGCCATCAGTTCTTGGCAGGAGCAAAACCCACACCGACTCTGCAAATTGCACTGGGTTCTGCTGACTCAGGGAAGGGCTCTCGGGGCTCTGTGCTGCTGGTTTTGAAGCTGCCGGACCCATTGAGAGCCTGAGCCCAGGACAGGTGTAGATTCTAGAGGGAGCACAATCAGATCCTCGGAGTCAGCCTAGCAGAATTAAGATGACCCTCTGAACCCTGCAGCACCCTGGGGACTTTCTATTACATCAGGGCGTCAGGCAGGACTCCTCTGGTATCTTCCTGGCATTTTTTATTGAGATTTGTGGAGCACAGTGGTTTCCAGCCTCGGTAGGGGCAGGGCTCCTTCAAACAAAGAGAGCCTCTTACTATGATGCAGAGAAAAATGAGACAGATCCCTCTGTCTCTTGTCAAATAAGGATGGTGTCTGTGGAAATGCTTTTGCTTCATGGGCTGAAGAATCGCTCCCTTTGGCACTGCTGAAATTGTTGAGAGAGAAAATGAAAGGGGACTTCCCTGGCAGTCCAGTGATTAGGACGCCACACTACCCAAGGGCCCAGGTTAAATCCCTGGTCAGGGAACTAAGATCCTCCTAGCCACACTGCATGGTCAAGAGAGATGATTGAAGAACTTGGGGGGCAGGGGACCATTGTAAGGTTATTACACAGAGGAGGCGGCTCATTTCAAGCACAGGTGGGTGACCTGAGGCCGAGTTTGGGCTTCTTCTTGTTGGCATCTATCTGCTTGCTGCTTTTTGCACTGGGGATGCTGCTTAGGGCTCCTGAAATCTTCCCACACAAGCCTGACTCCCATCAGCGTGCTTCTGATGACACTTGAAACATACCAGGGGTCTTTCAGTCCATCTGCACACCATGGGGCGGCTTCCTAGGTTTTCTATTACCTTAATCCATTATTCTGTGACTTTTTAAAAGTAATTATAGTCCTTATTTTCTGAGAGATGAATGCAGGCTGCATTCTCAGTGGCCGATGTGTTTTTCAAAATTGTAGAATCGCTGTAATAATATAGTGCTGTTGTTTACAGATGGTCTTAGTTGAATGTTTAAAGCCAAAAGAGTTTGATGAGCTGGGTCAGGGCAGAGATGTCATTCTGTCTCTATCACAGAGTCAGGCAGCCCTGGATCCAAATCCCAGCTCTGCCACCAGTCAGCTGTGTGACTTTGGGCGAGTGACTCTGTCTCTCGGAGCTACAGTCTTCACTTCTGTGAAATGAGGATAACAAAGTTTCCCTTAAGGAGAGGAGTTGGGCACTGAAAGTTTTTTGCTTGCTCAGCCTCCTTGCCCCATTCCAGGACCAGCAATTTCTCCCATCTTCTGGGAAACTGTATCACGTACATTATAACTGTGGCCTTCTAGTCTAGATTGCTGACACCCCCCTCTCCCCAGGGGGACACATGACCCAGTCCTGGCCAATCAGCTCCCTTCCTTGGGAAGAGAGTGGCTCACGCTTTCTTCCACTGCAGCCACAAGCTAGAGGGATGCCAGCCTGGAGTTGCCTGTCACCATGTGTCCTGGGGGTAGAGAAGCAGGCGTGACTGGATCCAGGTAGTCAAGTGAAATGCTTAGAGCTCCATCTGTGTCCATCTCGTGGCTCCGCTCTCCTCCATGCTGGTTTATACAGGTCCCAGGCCCATCTCTGAACCAGTCATTCCGGCCATTCCTGATTGGCTAAAAGGTCTCATTTGTCCATCTTAAAGCCTGGAGCAGTCAGAAAGTGGCTGAGGGGCACATCCGAAGGGAAGATTAAGGTGCTGCTCCCAAAGCCCACTGGGTCATGATCAGCAAAGGTGACAGGCTGACTCCAGCACCCCACGGCAGAGAGAGCAGTGTGGAGCTGTGAGGAGACCCACTGTGGGCTCAGAAGTCAGCATGGCCGGAGGGAGAGGGGCAGGGTCGGGTGGGTGACAAGAAAGAAGCTGAAGAGAGAGGTCGGGACTGCATCTCAAGGGGCCTCATGTGCGCCAAGTAACGGTGGGGTTTTCATATCAGCAGGATTCTTTGCATGAAGGGTGAGACAGGTCCTTAACGCCTTACCCCACTCCCTGCCGAATCCCCACCCCAACACTGGACCAGCTCTCATTTATAAGGGGACGTTCTCATTGATGGGAAAATGAATACTTTCCAGATTCACCAAGAGGAGGAGTTATAGAAAGGGAGGAAGAGAGAGAGAGAATATGCACATACCCATTAAAAGGTGTAGTATCTGAGTGACGACCATGGGTCCAGAATTGCCCAGACACTTGTCATGAATAGGTTTATGCTCACCACAGTCCTCCTGTGAGGTCAGGATTACAATAACAATGCCTAAAGTTTGCCTAACATATGCTAAGGGCTTTATCTATACACAGCATCTTAAGTCAATTCTCATAACAGCCCTCCAAGGTAGGCATTATTTCAACACCCACCCCCCGCCCCATTTTACAGAAGTTATACACTGAGGTCCAGAGAGATGAAGCGATTTGCCTGAGGCCACACAGCAAGCAAGCAGCAGAGGTAGGATTTGAACCTGGGTGTGTGGCGATTTCATACAACTCTAGCGTGGGCTCTTTTTGCTCCTCCTGAGATGTTTTTATTTGGTCGTTTCTGGCACAAGGATGATGCTCTCAGTATCACTGGAGAAGAAGATGGTCCTCTGCTGGACCTCGGTCACATGGGGCCGCCTCATCATGGGCAGGAGGCTGGCCAGGCCTGCGTTGAAGATGGCGGTCACGTAGCCCCAGCCTAGCTGGCACTGACCGCCATGGTACATGGAGGAGGCTACGCAGGCTTCCTTGGCAAACGGTGAGGCCAAGCCGATGGGGAAAACCAGCAGGCCCATGATGGTGGCGATGGCTAGAGAGAGCAGGAAGGAAAACCGGTGTGTTGGTCATGGGGCTCTGGGCTGACCTTCCATCCCAGTCCTCCCATCCACTCACTCATCATCCATCATCCATTCACTTATTCACTGGCTCATCTATCTTTGTATCCACCTATCACTCAAGTAGACTTCCACCCATCTGTCCACCTACTCACCCATCCTTTCAACCATATTCTAGTCCACTCATGCTCTCCATCCCTCTGTCTACCTATCCATTCACTCATCCATCCATCTATCCAACCACCCACTTAGCCACCTGCCCCCCACCAGTCCCCCCATCCTTCCATTCCTCCACCCACTTTCCCCATCCATCTAGCCATTCATCCATCTATTCAGTAATATATCTACTGATCCATCCATCTATCAGCTCATCTACCTACTTATACACACCACTCCACACATCCACCAACCCATCCATCCGTCCATGTATTCATTCCTCAAAACTGTTAGGGGCTCTGTGGAAGGCACTAGTGATACTAAGCAAATGAACCAGACACCTCCTCACTTTGGAGGCAGTCCCAGCACAGGAGAGTCACGTGACCTTCAGCCCCCCTTCAGCCACACTTGTCCATTTGGAGTTCCTTGACTGTGCCTTGCTCTCTTGTCTCTCTATGCCTTTGCCCCTGAGGTTCCCATTACCTGAAATGCCCCTCTACATTGGTTAACTTCCCACTCATCCTTCCAGATTCATCTCAGTGATGCCTCCTCCAGGAAGCCTTCCTTAACACCCCCTCCAAACACTGAGTCAGGTACCTCTTGGAGTGTTCCCTTACCTTCTGTGCTCATCCTATTGTGCCAAATATCCACCGAGTTATAACTGCCACCCCTACTAGACACTGTGCAAGCCAACAATGGACTGTTTCTCCATTCATTGATTCAACAAATATCTAGTGAATGCCTCTATGTGTGGAGCACTGTATCAGATGCTGGTGATGTCAAGGCAGACGTGTCCTTGACCGCACAGAGCTGATGTTCTTGTGGAGAGAGATGCACAATAATCAGGTAGGCAGACGTGATATTTCAGGCTATGAAAAATAGAAAGCAAGGCAAGAGGAAGGAGACTCTAAGCAGAGGGGAGCTCCCTTACCTTGAGGTCATGGGAGACCCCCACTGAGAGAGAGGTTTGAGCAGTGCCCTTAATAAAGTGGGAGGAGCAAGCTGTGAAGATCTGAGAGGAGAATATTCCAGGCAGAGGGAACAAGCTTGGTGTTTATGAGCAACAGAAAGCAAGCCAGTGTGGCCGGCGTGTGCTGAGCCTGGCAAAGCCAGTTAAGAGATGAGGTCAGTAAAGGAATGAGGGCCACCTTGGTGGAGCCTCATCGGTAACAGGAAGTCACTGATGCGGTAGCTTGATCCGATTTCAGTTTTAACAGGTCTCACTTGGCCAAGGTGTGGCAATCAGGCTCTAGGGGACAAGGGTGGCAGCAGAGAGATGCGTGAGGTGGTCACCTCTAATCCAGGTGGGAGATGGTGGAGAATTAATTGGATGAGGCTTACCACCAAGACCTGAGCTAGATCATCCAAAGCCGATGTGTGAATTAGAGAAAAGCAACCTTCTGGGCTTGGGGACTTTTGAGGTGGCTCAGTGATAAATGATTTACCTGCCAAGCAGGAGATACGGGCTTGATCCCTGGATTGGGAAGGTCCCATGTACAAGAAAATGGCAACCTACTCTAGTATTCTTGCCTGGAGAATTCCATGGACAGAGGCACCTGGTGGAGTACAGCCCATGGGGTCACAGAAGCGTTGGACACCACTTAGCTACTAAACAACAGTAACAACAACAATTCTTCTGGGCAAACACAGCTCTCAGCCCTCCCATCCTCAGCTGGATGCCCTTGTGCGGTGCACAACCTGCCCAACTGAATATGCTGGTCCTGGTAAAAATGATGCAAAGTGGATGCACAGGACAGAAAAAAAGGAGGACAACTATTAGGACTGGGTTTGGATAAGGGCAAGAGAGGGTGATGTTAAGGATACCATTCCCTACCCCCAATTTCTGGCTTTTTAAAGGATCAGGAATAGTCTGCAGTCATAGGGTTTATCTCTGAGATTCAACCAGGAGGCAAGTCTCTGCTTACAGGCTCGCTCATTCATTCATCCATTCATTCCAAAAATATGTCTTAAACACTTATATGTGACATCACATTTACCTGCTGCTACCTGTACCCCTGGCATTGGACCACTGCCCCTCCGTGGGCACAGTCCTTTGGGAGCAAGGGCCCAGGACAGGAGGAGAATTGCATTGAAAGCCAATAGGAGCCAGCCTCCAAGGAGCATTGCAGCTGAAACCTGCCGGGAAGACAGAGGAGGGACAGTGTCGACTGGGGTGGGGCAGTCATGCACTCCCTCTGCTTAACTGATCAGCTGCTGAGTCCTCAAAACCCCACAAAGTCTGTGCTATTATTATCCCTGTTTTGTTGTTATTGTTCAGTCACTAAGTCATGTCTGACTCTTTGCAACCCTATGGACTGTAGCACGCCAGGCTTCCCTGTCCTTCATTATCTCACTGAGTTTGCTCAAACTCATGTCCATTGAGTCAGTGATACCATCCAACCATCTCATCCTCTGTCATCTGCTTCTCCTCCTGCCCTCAGTCTTTCCCAGCATCAGGGTCTTTTCCAGTGAGTCAGTTCTTCGCATCAGGTGGCCAAAGTACTGCAGCTTCAGCTTCAGCACCAGTCCTTCCAAAGAATATTCAGGGTTGACTTCCTTTAGGATTGGCTGGTTTGATCTCTTTGCTGTCTAAGGGACTCACAAGAGTCGTCTCCATCACCACAGCTCAAAAGCATCAACTCTTCAGTGCTCAGCCTTTGTTATGGTCCAACTCTCAAATCCGCACATGACTGCTAGAAAAACCATAGCTTTGACTCTATCGACCTTTGGCAGCACAGTGATGTCTCTGCTTTTTAATATGCTGTTTCTGTTTGTCGTAGCTTTCCTTCCAAGGAGCAAGTGTCTTTTAATTTCATGGCTGCAGTCACAGTCCACAGTGATTTTGGAGCCCAAGAAAATAAGCCTGTCACTGCTTCCACTTTTTCCCCTTCTATTTGCCATGAAGTGATGGGACTGGATGCCATGATCTTAGTTTTTCTCATGTTGTTTTAAGCCAGCTTTTTCACTCTCCTTTTTCACCCTCATCAAGAGGCTCTTTAGCTCCTTTTCACTTTCTGCCATTAGAGTGGTATCATCTGCATATCTGAGGTTGTTGCTATTTCTCCTGGAAATCTTGATTCCAGGTTTTCATTGATCCAGCCTTGGCATTTCGAATGATGTAGTCTGTATACAAGATGTACTTTGTTTTACATATAAACAAATCAGATTATAAAGAGTTGGAGTCATTTGCCTCAGGGCACACAGCTAATTAAGCCTTAGAGATAGAATTAAGATCTGCATTTACCACCTTACCTTCTCTTTGCTGAGGCATCTTTGCATGGGTTTTGAAGGCTGTGTAATCTTCCTTAGGTGGGCTTCCCAGGTGGCATAGCGGCAAAGAATCTGCCTGCCAGTGCAGGTGACGCGAGAATCCCTGGGGTCAGAGTCAGGCTGGACTAAGCTCACACCCAGTCTCGCTTTGAGGAGCTGAACTGGGAGTCCCGACCCATTGTCCCAATTGCTGAATTGGTAATGTGCATCAAAACAGAGACTTTTGACATCTTAGCCATGGTTTTCAAATTTAGCAGTGCTTAGAGGGTGACCAGGTAGGTGTGTACAGGTTGCGCACTGCAAAACTCTAGGAGATGCCTTTGGGAGTCATCACAGAACTGCATATTGCTTATAGTAATTCTCCAGCAGATGGCAGCATAGTGTCCTGAGGAAGGAGCACTGTTTCCTAATCTGTATAAAGGCACTGCATGGGCCAGCAGCTGCCTTTAGAATCACCCTGGGTGTTTGCTAAAATTCACATAGCCAGACCCCACCCCACACCTACAGAGTCATACAGAGTCAGAGGTTGGAAGGGAGGTGGGAAGAACTTGGCTTTTTTTTTTTTTTCCGCTGACACGTTTGAGAATGCCCTGCTCCGGACCCCTCGAAGCTGCAATAAATTGACTAGTCCACTATCTCACCTTCCAGGCGAAGTCAGGAATATCATCCAGGGACTGGAAGGTCCCACAGCTCTGGTTCCAGCTGTCACCCTGAGGCCAGGAGCAGTAGGTGAGGACACCAAAGGAGAAAGTGGTGGTCTGGAACCAGGCAGGGGAGACGAGGCTGATGGCCGAGATGCAGGTGAGGGAAAGCCCCAGAGCTGCCCACACGCTGCTCACCATCAGGGCATGTCAGTGACCTAGGAGTCAACAGACAATATTCGTGGAAGGAGGAAAATGGGATCTGGAAAGGATGTCCCTATTTTCCCCACCAGCCAGGCATCTGGTCCTCTCTTCGGATCCCAGGTCATTAGCCTCGCTTTGACCTGGGACACACTGGGAGGTGTTCATAACGGGTGGAGCTCTTCCCTAACACATTCTGGAAGTCAAAAATCCAAATTTTAGAATAAATGTTACTGCTTACACAGACTTTGGCACACAACCAGTCCTCCTGGGAAGTGAACATCACTGGTCCATGCAAGACCCCTCTCATGTCTCACTCATTCATTCATTTCTTTCTCCATTCATTCGCTCTGCCTATCAAGCCTTGCACCGTCCCTGAGGTCTGCTTCTCCACAGAGGGGACCTTTGTCAAAATCACACACAGATGCTATGTTCCCAGCAACCATTCTGCTCACTGGCTACCTCCTCCCAGTCTCTGACCATTATTTAATGTTTATCTTTTTGTTTGGAGGTATTTTTGCAAAACCAATACTGTTCAGTCTGTGTGTATTTTTCATGTGCTTAATTAAATGGCATTGCTTTATATATTGCTGTTTTATGTGGTTCCACAGAGGTCAGGTGATACCTGGACTCATCCTTAAATGTCTCTAAATCACAGGATGCCAAGAGTTATTTAGTTTTCAATGCTTCTTCAACCCTTCAAGGAGAAAGTTTCTGTAAGGGCTGCAGGGTCTTAAACACCCCCCAATCATCTGTCATTCTCCTCTGTTGAAAGACGGGGAGCCTTGAGGAGGCAACGGAGTCTGGTGAGACTTGGGGGATGAGGCTGGACTTTTCTTGTATTTGTTGTAGTGGTTTTATTCTATTTATTAGTTATCTATTTGACATTTAAATTCATGTTAATGAGAAATCGAGTCGCTTTGAAGCTTGGTCTTACTGAAATAATAATAGAGTGTTGGAGGAGGAGGCTAAGGTAGGAAGGTGGTTTGCTAATAGCCAAAGTTGTCATTGATGGTCAGAAGCAAGGTCCAGAGGGGCTGGGGCAGCCCAGGGGCACCCAGCCAACCAAGGACATCGACACGGACCTTCCAGGGCCGGTGCTTTTCAGCCTGGGGTTTCACTTCGGGACCCTAAGCCTGGCCAGCACGTTACACCTGGCCGGAGTCCTGGGCTTGGAGCCAGCCGGTCCCTCTAGCATTTCCCAGCTGTGTGACCTGGAGCAAGTTACCCCGTTGCCCTGGGCCTCAGTTTCTCCACCTGTAAAAGCAGATTCTAACTCCCGGGGGGCAGAGAGTGTTGGGTTCCATCACTGGGCAGGGCGATGAGTAGAAAGAAACACACGAAGCACCACGTCTCCCGGGGTGACCTCGGGGAGGCCACCTCATCTCTCTGGAAATGGGGCCATCGGGGTTGTCGTGAAGGTTCTCGGGGGTCAGATGCAGCCGTGTTGCAGGGAGAGGGGGCTGAGCTAAGCCAAGGAAGGGAGGTCGGGGTTGGGTGGCACAAACGTTTTATTCCCAAGCTTAGAAAAACCTCACGGCAGCCAGCCAGCAAATGAGATGCAGTGCCTTGAAGTGAGGGAGGGTGGGTTTTTTTTTTTTTTCCCCCACACTGAAATCAGCCTCAACTTTGAGGTTGGCAGGATCCCGAGGGGTGTAATTCCAGCCAGGAAGCTGGGGAGCCCAGAGCGGACTGCAGCCTGCGATTTTGCCTCTCCCTGGCTGCCCCAGTGCCTCTCCAGGCATTTCTGACCTTGAAAGGAGTTTTGTTCTCCAGATAATATGCTCAGTGTCACCTGGGAAAATCACACCAACCATCCAGGTGCCCAGAAACTTAAATGAGGCACTCTAACCCGAAACCACATCCGTCCGGGTTCCAATTAGCTGGAATTCACCTAAGGGAACTTGAAAGGGATTGGATGTTTTCTCCTCCAGCTCGGCGCTTTGCTGCTCAAGGCAGCTGACAGTCCTTGAGCACTCATCACGGCCCCTTCTAAACTCTTTCAGTGCCTCATTCAGTTTAAGCCTCATGGTTCCCCCATGGTAGGGTGGGTATTACTCTCATCTGAGTTCCCATTTTACAGATGACAAAATGAAGCCTCAGGAAGTGAGCAGTGGACCAGGATCTCAAACTCAGAGAATGGGACTGCTGACTCTGAGCCCTAAACCCAGAGTGATATTAAGGAATTCATTTAAAGTCAAATACCCCAGCGTTTTTCAGGGGCTACCCAGGGTTAAAAGTTTGGTCAACCCTCTCCCCTTCTCCAGCCAGGGAGCCTGGATGGGCTCGGGAGCCATAGACAGCCATGGCAGGAGGGGACCTGGGACTTGGGAGTTTAGAGGTGGCTACTAGTGTCTTACTATGTCCTTACTAAGTCCCTTTCTCATTCTGGCATTCGTGTGTCCTCATCCGTCAATTGGAAGGAGTTCATTCATTCATTCATTCATTCAGCTTTTATGTGCCCAGCCCTATGTGACCTTCATAGATACAACAGTGAAAACACTCTGCCTGTCTTGAAGGAACTTAGGGTTTGGTGGGCAAGATAGGGAAACAAGATAGAACAATATGGTCCATCCGTCCATCCATTCAACAAATTTACTGAGTACTATGTTCTAAGAACTATTCTAGTGCTGGGGATTTAGTAGTGAGGAAAACAGACAAAAACAACTGTCCCCATGGAGCTTACAGTCCTGTGAGAGAGAGAGAAACAATAAGGAAATAAGTCAGTATGAAAGATGCCTGACGCAGGGACTTCGGCAGAGGTCTAGTGCACTGGGGTTCTGTACTTCCACTGCTGGGGGCACAGGTTGGACCCCTGGTCAGGGAGCTAGGGTCTCATGTGCAGTGGGCAAGGCCAAAACAAAAGGATGCCTGATGTAAATAAGGCCACAGAGAAAAATGAAGCCAGGAAGGGAGATGGTGAATGAATAGGGGAGGGTCATGGAAAGCCTCACGAGAAGGTGACCTCTGAGCAGGAGCTGAGGGAGGAAGCCATGTGGATCTTTGGGGGAGGAATATTCCAGGCAGGGGGCAGAGCAGGTGCAAAGGCCCTGAGGTGAGCATGTACTTGGCATGCTGCAGGAAGCAAAGAGGCCCGGTGACTGGAAGGAATGAGGAAGCAGGCAGAGTGGGAGGCTTTGTAGGCAATGACAGACCTTTGACTTTTAATTTCTGAGTTAGATGGTGGATCTGTGGGTGGTCTTGAGCAGAGGTGGGACATGACTTGTCTCAGTGTTTTAAAAAGGTCAGCTCTGGCTTTTGGGTGGAGAAGAGGCCGAAGAGAAGGCAAGGGAGAAGGAACCAGGAAGCAATTTCAGTGGGTCAGGCGAGAGACATTCAGTGGATCAGACAGAGAAGAGACAGGGAGGGCAGAGGCAGGTTTGGGATCTATGTTGAAGGTCAAAGGTAGGTCCAGCCAACCGGATTTGCTTATGGACTGGACTTGGAGTGTGAGGGGCCGTGGGGAGGCAAAGATGCCTCCAGGGCTTTTGACCTTGGCACCTGGGACAGGGGAGCTGTCCTTCCTTGAGACGGGGAAGCTGCAGGAAGGGTTGGTTTGTTAGGAGAAGGGAAGCTCTCTGAGCATGGTGTAGCCCAAGTGGAGTCTGAGATGTGTACTTCACCAAGCCATCAATCAACGGATGCACACAGACACAGCGTCACACCAAGGGAAGCAGCACAACATCAGGGGCAGGCACAGAGCAGGGGCATCTAGGGCCAGGTGGACATCCAGGCTGAAATCTGAAGATGCGCAAGTCGGGGTTGGGGACTCTGACCTGCATCCCTTGTCTCACCTTCCCAGCCACACAGCCTGGGCAGCCCCCACGGCTGGTGCGTTTCCAGCTCCGGTACAAGTCGGCCATGTGCACGGGGTCAAACTGTGATGTAACGTAATGACTCCAAGCTTTTGTTTCCCCGTTGCAGTGAACTGAATGTTTGTGTGCCTCCGAATTTATATGTTGAAATTCTACCCCCAACGGTGATGCTGTAAAAAGGTGAGCCTTCGGGAGAGGATGAGGTCATGAGGGTGGAGCTTCCATGAGGCTTAGAAAAGAGACCCCAGAGACCACCCTCGCCCCTTCTGCCACGTGAGGATGTAGCAAGAAGGCAGCCATCTGTATACCAGGAAGTGGGCTCTCACTAAACACCAAAATCTCCCTGATGTTGGAATTCCTAGCCTCTGGAGCTGATGGAAATAAATTTCCGTTGGTTATAAGCCATGTAATCTATGGTACTTTGTATATTGCAGCCTGAATAGACTAAAACATCCACCCCTAGAAGGATGGCCACATCCTAGACTAGGCGGGCTTAAACTTTTGGAGTTGATGGACTCCTTTGAAAATCTGATTTAAAAGCATGGCTGCATTGTTTATGCAGACTTACTTGCGTGCGCGTGCACGCACACACACACACACACACACACACACACACACACTACTGTAATTTCAGGGGCTCATAGACCCTTAAAACTCATTATAGCTCCCGGACAATGCTTTCCTCTCCCCCTAGCCTTCACCTCACCTCCCTCTTCTCTCCAGACTCACCTACTTCAGGTCAAGACCCTCCAACGTGGCTACTTCTCAGGCTCCAGTTTTGAACGTAAATCTTTGACAGTTTGAAGAAAACAGTCAGACTGGTGAACGAAGCCCAGGTGTGCGATAAACTGGCCTGTGTGCGTTTTCCTTCCCGGTTTCTTAAACAGACAGCCTGTCACTGGGCTGCTGGGTTGGCTGGGCAAAGTGAGAAAAGCCAGCCCCAAATCAGAATGGGGTGAGGGTGTGGTGTCTCCTGGGTAGGAGAAGGTGTGAATAGGGATTAACCGAGATTAAACGCCAGGTGTTGAAATTCTTGCCGTTGTGCTGTCTGCCTTTCTGCCTCGGTAATTCTAGTTGAGGGAAATTTCTCTGGGATCTGAATATCCACCCTGCGGGCTGTGAACTTCCAGAGAGTAGGTTCCGGATCTGAAAAGTTTTATCCAGTAGGTGCTTGTCTTGTCTTTTGCTGTAAATGATGGAAGTGCAACTCCAACCGGCTCAACAAGAAATGAGGAATGTATCAGTTTACATAACTGAAAATTCTGTGGTGCAGCTTCAGGCACAGCTGGCTCCAGGTGAACAAGCAGCGGCCCCACTCTCTCTCTCTCCATCTCTCAACTCTGTTCCTGCCGAGTCGGTTTACTCTCAGGCAGATTCTCTCTCAGAGTGTTGGCTTCTGGTGCCTCCAGGCTTAGCAACCCCAGGGAAGAGAAAGCTCTTCTTCACACACGGTGGCTGCAATGACTGTGATTAACTCTCACTGGCCAGACATGGGTCCCATCCATGAACCGGACATTGTGGCCAGGGAAACGGGATCCTCTGATTGGCCGGACCTAGGGCCTGGGCAAGGGTTAGGGGTTGAGGGTGGGAGACTGGGGATGAGATTAGGCGTGTCCTGACGTCCACCACACTGGAACCACATGAACTAAAGGTGGGGCGTGGGGTGGCTTCTAGGAGGAAAACCGGGGTGCTGTTACAGAGGACGGGGAAATGGATGCTGAGCAGGGGAGAACACGAGGCGTCACTCTGAGGCTACAAATGCTGACATGACAAGTGATACACACGGGAAGCAGGATTGAGACTGAGACTCAAGTCCTAGCTCTGCCACCTACTCTTAGGCTGGCCTTAGTCAGAGCATCTCTGCTTTACTGGGCCTTAGCCTTTCCACTGTAAAATGAGGGCGTCTGGAATATACCAAAGTTTTGAAGAGATGATTGCCAGGGGCTTTCTTCCCCCACTCATTCAGTCATATATTTATTCTCTTTTTTCTTTCAGTCAATATTTGTGGAAGGGCTTCAGGGTTAGTGTCAACTGATCTGAATCCAAGTCTGATCTCCGGCAGGCCTGACTGCTGCACCTTCTGAAGTGTGCTTGGCGGTGTCCTTCCCGGTCACCCAGTGACCCGGGACGCCATCCAGCCTCCGCTCGCCTACCGCGGCAGGCAGCCTGGGTCAGACTGCCACAGCCACTTGGCCAGCTAAGCCTGCGGTGATGAGGCCTGAGTCGTGGCTTGATCTCCCAACAGCCCCAGCTGTGGTCCAAGCCGACCTGACCGGATCCGAGGCCAGGGCTTGGGGATAGGGTTCTGGTGCTTTCTCTTGTAGACTGAGGTGAACTTCTGGGTGTAGAGCTGGTTTTCCTCCTGGCTGCCTGGAGGTGTCAATAATACAGCCCAGATGTGAGGAGCGGTTGGGTCCAGTGATCACTAATGGCAGAGAGGAAATGGGACAGGCCAGCAGATGAAGTTCTTGCCCTTCATCCCTGCATATTTCACGTGGTTTCCCCAGAGATGCCCTGGAACTTCCGGTCGCATTTTCTTAAAAAGCTGTAGCCAATTCAGTAAAGAACGTCTTACATTTGCCCTCTCTCCTTCTCAGTCTCACAGTCCCTTTTCCTTCATTCTTGTTAAGCTGGGATTACATCCCCAATAAGGCATTCGTTTGTTAATCTTGCCTCTGGCTCTGTTTTCTAGGGAACCCAGGCTGTGATCTTAGCTGTGTGACTTTGAATGATTTACTTAACCTCTCTGAGCTTCAGATCCCTTACCTGTGAAAAGGAGATAATAGAGCATCTCTTACAGGACTGTTGTGATGTTTAATGAGACAGTACAGGCAAAGTACTTAGCTCAATAAATGACATCTTTCATTAGTATAATTTCTGTGAATGGGGCACGGGACTGTATTATGTGAAAACATTTATTCAACATTGAACTTCATGAGTATTTACTGAGGGTCAACTCTGTTTCAGATATTATGCTAGTGTTTGCTCCCAAGGACCTCACAGTCTAGAAAGTGAGACAGAGAAGTAATTGAGCAATATTGCAACAGGGTCATCAGTGCCCAGTTGGGGTTATAAGATTCAGAGGCTTTGGCATGGGGAGTGGGGATGGTAGTCAGGGATGGATTCTCGGAGGAGTTGGCATTAAAGCTAAGATCTGAAGGACACGGAGTAGCTATAGATGATGGGCACGTGGAGGGCACAGTGTTCAGACAGATGCCATGGCATGGGCAAAAGCCTGGGGTTGAGAGAAAACATCTCAAGAACACACTGGCACTGTCTCAAGAAGCAGGCGAGTTACAAGAGAAACAAAATGAATATGCACCAATGAAAATATGTGAATATGGTCTTTGCCAGGGAATGTGTGAGTTCTAGAGCTATGCTGTTCAATGTGGTGGATAGATGTGGCCATGTGTGGCTATTTGATTAAAATGAAATACAACTAAAAATGTAGCTCCTTGGTCACACTGGCCAAAATTTAAGTGTTCAATAGTCATCTGTGGCTAATGCTGGACAGTGCAGATACAGAACATCCCCGCCACTGCAGAGAGTTCTGTTGGACAGAGGAGGGGGCAGATGATGGCGGAGAAGGAAGAAGTCCTGGGAAAGCCCCTGGGAGGCACTGTCCTCTCTCCTTGGGAAGAGAAAAGCCGGGACTGGGAGTAAGGGGTGTTGGCTCTGAAAACAATGTACAGCCTGACACCTCTTTGGTCAGGGTAATCGCTGGGTGTGTGCTGGCTGGCAGCCTCTCACCTGGGGGCGGGGCGCGGCAGGGCAGGGGAGGCCCAGGACTGCAAGGAGACTCTGCTAAGGTGGGGCTGAACAAGGAAGTCCTGCCCCTCCGGGGCCAGGAAGGCTCTGGGAGTTGTAGTTTGGCACTTTTGGGACTCTCCCCTCCCCCACCTCAAAGCTCGGTGTAGGTAGGAGCATTGACACTGGGCGTGGGCTGGGCATTTCTTGGGGTGCAAAGTTGGGAGTGGGCTGGCTAGGGCCACATCCGGGTTTGGGGTTTCTGTGATGAGTGGCAGAAAAAGGACTGTCTTCTCTCCCCCCACTTAAGTTCTGGGATAGAGAGGAGATTCCAAGATGGAGGACTAAGCTGAATGGGCAGCTGAGAGACATCCAGTTTCAACAGAACCCTCAACCCACACATTCTGGTGAATTGAGATTTGCCCAGAGAGACAAGAAGTTCCCATAAGGTTAGGGGGGAGAGGTAGCAGTCAGTACTCTATTAAAACTGTTGGTTATTCATGCATTTAATCCAATTAAGCACAGTATTTTCTGAGGACATACTATTTGCCAAGCCCTGCCCTAGGCACTGAGAATCAGGAGTGAACTAGAGACAAAAGCTCCTGCTTCCAGAAGTTCTAGAGAGGGCAGCAAACAACAAACAGGGACTTGCCTTTGCTGATACAATAACACATGTAATGGAAAAACCCTACTTTAAAGGTGGATTTTGAGGCATTTTTAGTTTCAATCCAACCATTCTCCCTACCTTGAAGACGCCACCCTGGGCATGGTTGTCATATTTACTTTTTATTATTTTTTAAAATATTTACTTATTCGGCTGTACCAGGTCTTAGTTGCAGCATGCAGAATTACCACTTGTAGCATGCGGGATCTTTTTTTAGTTGCACCATGCAAACTCTTAGTATGTGGGACCTAGTTCCTAGACCAGGGATTGAAAAGAAGGAAAGGGTCCTGGAAAAGTCCCTGTCCTCCCTCCTTGGGAAGAGAAAAGCCAGGGCTGGGAGTAGGGGGATACGGAGTCCCAGAAACTGCACAACCAGGGAAGCGCCTGGTAGTCGTATTCAAAAGCCACTGAGTTGGATCCTGTTGACGACTGTTCTCCAGACATCCAGCTGATACAGGAGATTATTCTAAGCTGCAAGACGTCATAGAGCCACTACCTCACCACAACTGGGTTCCATCACCGTGGACAAGTCTCCTAGGGAGCCTCAGAATGCTCCTTGATAAGGTACGGAGGTGCCGATCCTTGCTCCAAAAGTGCAGATTAAAGGAAACAATGGATATGATGTATCTCCTGTAACAAGAGTCCCTTCTCCTTACACACACACACACACACACACACACACACACAGAAGGACAGATAAGGGAGCGCCCTGACAAATCTCCTGGAGCCAAACAGCATTACATCATTACATTCTTTTTTCTCTCTTTGACTTCACTGAGGTCTAACTGACTCAGGTCTTTCAGTTATTGTCTCCATACATTTCCTTCCTAAGGAAGGAAGCACAAATCCCAAATGCAATTCAACTTCTTTGTGCAAATATTGCTGACAGCGTCTGGAAGCTCTATGACAGTCTATATCTTGCCAGCTCTATCTTGTCTGTATCACCAGTATGGTCAAGTCCCCACCAGTATGATGGGCCCCTGGCATCCAGCATACTGTAGGTGCTGAATAGAAACCTATGGAACGAAATGAGTAAAGGATAGCAAAACAGACATTTTCTCGTTCAGGAGAGACTCCCTACGATTCTCTCAGCTTGTCCAAAAAGTCTATTCGGCTCACCCTTCATCCCCCAGCTTCAACGTAAGGCCGCAGGGATGACAGACTGTAGGTGCCCCAGCGGAAATGAGCCGCCCCGGGTGGAGTCCCCTGCTCGCCGCGAGGAGGCGCGAGCGCTACGAACAGGCCGGGCTCGCTCCAGGCGCCCGTAGCCCAAGCGATGCAATGGGCGAGGCTCTCCCGAGCGCCTCCTGAGTTCCCAGGCTGCACTAGGCGCTCGGGCGCAGACCCGGCGGCGGTTCGCCGGCTGTGTTGCGGGTGGTTCCCGGCAAGAGCCGGGGGCTAACCCCGGCAACGCAAGCAGGCATCACGAACACATGTTCTGAGTCGGGCAAGGCAGGGTCGGGGCTCGACGGCCGGGAGCGCTTCCGGGAGGAGTCTCGGGGGAAACTCGCGACCTCTGACCTGCCAGACCGTCCCCCTGGTCCCGGGGCCGAGCAAGAGCTCGAGTCTGCGGCTGAGCTCCGCCCCGGGGCCCTCCGCGCAGGCGCCACTGTCCGCGGTTCCCATGGCGACGGGGGGCGCTTCCCCGTCCGAGGCCCCGCCCCCAGCAGGCTAGGCTGCGCGGGGCCGCGGGCGGCGCAGGCAGGTGCCGCGGGCTGCGGGCAGGTGGCGGCGCGGCGCGGACCGGCGGCGGCGGCGGCTCTAGGGTAGGTTGCGCGGCGGCCGCGGCGCGTCGGGGCCGGCCATCAGTCCCGTGTCCCCGGCCTGTGAGGGGATAGAGGAGGCGGTGGCCGGCGGTGGCTGCCGAGTTTCTGCTCCGCTGAGGCCCCCGGAGAAAAGTTGACAAAGTTAGCCCGGGAAGAGGTGGGGACCTGGTGGATCTCCCCGGGCTCTGGATCTGCGGGGAGGGGGCATCTCGAATTGAGAACCGGAAGGTCTGTCTCTCCAGACTTGGGAGTGGATCCCTCGGGAAGATCCAGCACTGGGCAGCCAGTGGATCCCGCGCCACTCGGCTGGAGACCTGCGAGTCGATATTAGTAGTGGATCTGGCGCCGGTGGCCCGGGGTCCCATTGGGTCCCCCAGCCTGGGGTGACTGTGGACGGTGATTGGAAACTGGGAGCTAGTTGATCCCTCTCCCCTGCCCCCGCACTGGTCCGAGCCTTGGGAGTGATTCCGAGAGGAGACCTGGTGGCCGGGAACTGGGGGATCGTTGGAGATCCGGGCTACTCAGCCTGCGACTGCTAGGATCTGGACGACCGTGCGGGTTGGAGGCCCAGGAGGTGGACACTGGGAAGCGGGGGTGCGGATCGAGGCGGAGCCGGAGGCGAAGGGATCCTGCGGGCAGCGGGGGCGGTGGAGAGAGCTGCGTGCCGGGCCCCACGGGTTCCGGACGCGCCCTCCCTACCCGGCCTGCGCACCCCTCCGCGCGCCTTCCCAGGGCAGAGTCTCCCTGATGAGATTAAGGCTCAATCCCCCTGCTCCCCGGCAGGCTCGGCTGGCCCCCACCCCGTTGGCGCCGCCGCCTAGAGCTACAGGCGGGGCCCTGGGGAAGGGAAGCGGCGCGTTGACCCCCGACCCGGGCCCGACCTTTCCACACCCTCCTAGCAAGCACCCGGCGCGTAGCCCGGGCGCCGCGCCCTGAGACCCTGCTTCTCTGCTGGTCCGTGGCGGGTCCGTAGTGGCGCGGGCGCATGACCTGCGCGCGCCACCTGGGTGGCCAGGGCTTCCTGCCCGCAGGACTGAACTTTCTCCAGCCAGGAACTGCCACTACCTTTTGGAAAGGAAAGGATTGTACCTGTTGCACAAAGAAAGTGATTTTTCTTTGCAGCTTCTTTGTGACCTTGGACAAAACGCCTAACATCTCTGAGCCCAGATCTCCCTTCTGGGCACAATGGAGTGGGGGTGGGGCCGCAGTCCTCCCTTTTCTGGGTGACTGGCGGGATTAATGGGTATAAAAGGTATGAAGCAGGTATGGGCTGTGTAAATACTAGTGGACCCTCATTCTGTGGCCTCTCCTCTCCCTTGTCTTATCCCCGCCGCCTCTCCTAGGGTATCTGAAGGAAGGCTCACGAAACTCGGCTTGCTATCTTTTTAAACTGCAGGATTAGAGAGATATTTAACTTGGTCATTCTTCGAAAGGGGTTTAATTGCCCCTCTGATCCCCCTTGCAGAGAGAAGCTCTAGGGTTTGGCTAATCAGTAACCTGGCCATTTGGACAAGACTTCTCCTTTGGCCCAGCTTTTCCTTTGCTAATGCATCAGAGCTCCTTGACAAACATGCATTCACCCCCAGACACTGGCATCTCACCCCTGGGACAGTTCCAGAGGGAGTTGTGCAGACACTCGTTGAGGTCCTGGTGGTTTTAGGGGGAAGCTTTTTTGAAAGGATTGGCATGCTTGACAAGGGTGCAATTATCCTAGAGAAGTACAGGGTTTCATTCGGTACTGTGTCTGGGTACGTGAGTGGCTCTTTGGTCAACTAGGGTGTGTATTGAGTGCCTACTGTGTGGAGGACACTAGAAATAACGTGACCCAGAGCAATATAGGATCTGTCCTTCTGGCTTGCAATCTAGTTATGAACAATCAACTTGCCCTGCAGTCCAGTGAGACAACTGTACTGATTCTTGATGTTGGGCGTACAGCCCTCACTTCAGATTCTGGAGGTGCCCTACCCCGCTTGAAGGTCCTGGGGGTTGTCTTTTATTCAGGACTGATCTTGACAGGAGAATGGAACAGCCCACTATCTTATCCTGAGCCTTTCTCCCGTCTCAGCACCCCCAGAATATATCTCTGACCAACTCAGAAAGAGAGCCCCAGGGGGAATGTTTTAAAAGGGCCTTCATTCATTGATTCAACAAATATTTCAAGACACTGTGTCAAAGAGAAGGCTAGCAGTCCCACCCTTAAGGGGCAAAGTCTATGTGAAAAGAGGCAATTGTCTGGGAGGAAGGGCTGAGGACTTCTGGCCTGGGGAGGGATGGAAGGCAGGGAAGCTTTCTTGGAGAGCTTGTCTACCAGTGGGGAGAGGATGATGTTATACGCTGTAGCGAGAACAGAAAGGCCTGGACAGAGGAGCGAGCGTGGGGTGTTGGCAGGAGAAGCTGGCAGGGGCCAGGTCGGCTATTCCCAAGGATCTGGACTTTATTCCAGGGCAGTGGGGCACTGTGGAAGTTTCTCGAGGGGAGAAGGATGGAGTCAGATGTGTGTTTTGGGAAGCTTGCCCGTCTCTTGGGGAGATTGGATAAGGGTATGCCAGGAGGCTGGAGACTGCTCAGAAAATCCAGGTGAGGGGTGACGACGGTATTGAACTTGGGTAGAGACAGTGGTCAGTGTTGTGTTTAGAGAGCTGCTCAGTTGAAGACCCCTTTCTGGAGACCTGGCAATCAGTCTGGAGAAGGAAACCCCCAGGGGAAGTGGCCTGAATATTTTAAATGTCTTGTATTTCATTCCATTCAGCACACCTTCCTGTGCATCAGTTGTCCACTTGCCCTGGGAGGGTCATGAAACATCCAGGTCCTCCCAGGACTTTACCCTGGAACCCTCACCACCTTCCTATGGGAGGAGGTAGGGCTTGTTCTTCCTGATTTACAGATTCAGGACTCAGTGGTGTGGCAGCAAGGTCTTTGCCAGTCCCCCGTGGCAGAACGGGGACTTGAACCCACTTCCCACTTGCAACTTGTGCATGTTTGGAGTCAGGGAGGTTGAGTAGAGAAACCACGAAGGTTGGTGAGGTTGGGTCAGGATGCAGCAGGGGTAAACCCAGAGAGGCTTCCAGAAAGAGGCAGGGACAGAAAGGAGGAAGCTGGCCAGGAAGAACTGGGGAGAGAACTTAGAGATAGCACATAACACATCAGAACAACCACTTTTTACCAGACCCTTTACAAGTGCTGGGCTCTGGTGAAGTTCTTTTGTTCATTTCTAAATTCTTCACAACAAACCCAGGCGATGCTACTTCTGGGACCCTTGATTCTGCACTTTATCAAACCGAGGCTTCAAGGAGTCCTTCTGCCCAAGCCCACTACTCAAACTCCTGTCACTCACAGGGAAGCTCAAAAACTTTGAGTTGAGTGATAGATACACACACATTTTTTCCCCTTCAATGTGACGGATATTTTATTGAGCGTTTTCTGTGCAAAAGAGCCCCTGTCCTTAGGAGTTCACTCTGCAGAAATCTGGTCGACCGAATAGAAGGAAGGGAGGGGGAAGTCAAAGTGAGACAAATATGGTGATTCTGGACTGACTTCTGGGAAGCAGTTATCACTATTGCATTTGCTAATTGCTCAGTTGAATGACCTTTGAATCTTGTCTCCACTGAGAATATAAAATATGTCCCCAAAGCCTGCACTTTGGATATTTACATCCCTGAGTCAGAAGAGATACACACACACACACACGTAGTATAATAATACATATAATGTTACATATAATGACATATATCATGTTGTTCCTATAATAATATATATAATAAAGACTTCCCTGGTTAAGACTCCATAGAGTTCAGTGGTTCTACTGCAGGCGGCAAGGGTTGGATCCCTGGTCCAAGAACTAAGATCCTGTGTTCTGTGCAACACAGCCAAAATAATAATAATAATCACAATATATGTGTTATTGTGAAAATAACATGTAACACACCAAACACTTCAAAGATGGCAAACGTATTTTATGTTAAGTGAAATAAAATCCCACTCGAGACCCCCGTCCCATTCCTCAGAGATAATGCAGTCAGCAGTTTCCCTTGACTGTCCAGAAACTTTCCAAGTCCATATGCTCTGTTCACTTCCTTCCAAGCCCTTATCACACTCTAACTGTTTTAAGTTGTTTTTTTTTTGTCTATCCTGGAGCCAGATGGAAAGAGTTGCATCTTGGTTCTGCCACTTATCAGCTCCGTGACCTTGGGCAGGTGACTTAATCTCTCTGAACTGCAGTTTCCTCTTTGGTTTCGCTGTTTTTTGGTCAAGTTGTGTCCTACTGTTTGCAACCCCATGGACTGTAGCCCGCTAGGCTCCTCTGTCCATGGGATTCTCCAGGCAAGGATACTGGAGTGGGTGCCATTTCCTTCTCTCGGGGATCTTTCTGACCCAGGGATTGAACCCGTGTCTCCTGCATTGGCAGATGGTTTTTTTTTTTTTTTTTTTTACCACTGAGCCACCAGGGAAGCCCCTTCCTCATCGGTCAGTGGAGATGATAACGGGTCTTACCTCTGAGGGTTGCTGTGAGGAGGAACTGAGAAGGCACATGGTCAGTGCTCAGGGTGTGTTGATTTTCATTATTCTCGTTCCTTGTGGTGGTTGTAGTAGAGTCGGTATTGCTTCCTTTCCCTCTAGACAGCCCTCCAAGAAGGTGGAAACCCCTTGGTTTGGTTGAAGTTGGTCTTCACTGCTCTTTCCTTAGTGAATAGTTGTGGAATAAGATGAACAACAGCAATCATAAATCAAAGAATTTCACACAGAAGTTAAACGCAGATCTGAACCCGTATTAGACTGAGCTGACTTACTGTGCTCTTTTGAAAAACTGAACGATACGCCAGGGCATGAAGGTGCTGTTAGTTACTGAGCAGATGCCCTGTT